CCAGGAGCTTCTTCCAGGTCTCTCACGCAGGTACAGGGGCCCAAGCACTTGGGCCATCTTCTACTGCTTTCCCAGGCCATAGCAGAGAGCTGGATTGGAAGTGGAGCAACTGGGACTCAAACAGGCGCCCATATGGGATGCTGGCACTGCAGGCAGCAGCTTTACCTGCTACACCACAGCACTGGCCCCGACACATGATCTTTTAACCTAGAATTTCCACCTACTGTGGTTAATCTTTAAAGATTTACTCATGTAATAATACTTACATAATTTGAAATCAACTAATGAAAACACTGGAGTTGTGATGAAAATAATATTGGGGATTTCAAATGACAGTTATAGGGCCAGTGCTGTGGCGTAGCAGGTAAAGCCACCGCCTGCAATGCTGGCATCCCATTTGGGCACCTGTTCGGGTCCTGGCTGCTCCACTTCTGATCCAGCTCTCTGCTATGGCCTGGGAAAACAGCAGAAGATGACCCAAGTCCTTGGTTCCCTGTACCCGAGTGGGAGACCCAGAAGAAGCTCCTGGCTCCTGGCTCCTGGCTTCAGATTGGCCCAGCTCTGGCCATTGTGGCCAACTAGGGAGTGAACCAGCAGATGGAGGACCTGCCCCCCCTCATCTCTCTGCCTCTCCTTCTCTCTCTCTTACAAATAAATAAAAAACAAATAAAAAATGACAATTACAGAGTAATAGTTTTATCATCTAATTTATTTCTGTATCTTACTTTGAATGTGTACTACTAATAAAACTGTGAATCACACAAAGTTTTCTATGTGTTTTTTAAACAGCTTATATTGTAATCTTAGCATATTCAGTTAAATAGAAATGGCAGGTAAAGCTTTATTCCAACAGCTACATGAGATAATATAGGAATTCCTGTGGATTGTTGGTCGTCTCTTAACATGTTACACTTAGTGTAAGTATCATGGTACATCTTTTGTTATATTGTTTTGATTTTAAATTAATTTAAAATTTCATCAATAAAGTATTGCACCAAACAGTATTAAGAAGCTTAAAATAAATAATAGCATTCCTATGCCTCAGACCACCCCACATCCCAGCTTCAGTGGCCAGAATCATTTACTTTCATTGAACTCCTTTGAGTCTTTCAGCAGTATTTGTTAACTTATTTCTAAATGATGTGCTTCTAATGCTATTACTGGCATTATTGTCTTTGACATTTATATAATTTTCCTATTTGGGTAGATAAGGATTTTATTTCTTCATGTTAACACTATATTCTACTTTTACTTCCCTCCTCTCATCTTTTTCCAATGTAGTTTTATCATATTTTTGTTTAAATAATTATTTGCTATCCCTTTGCTTATTATTATATAAATAGTATTCCTTGCCATTTCAAATGATATACTCTGATTTTATTTTCTTCCTTGTGCATCTTGTTATTTTCTAGAATAATAATTCCTCATTTTTTTTGTGTGCTTGGCTTTTTTAAGTAACTATAACTAGTTCCATCTTCTTTTTTCAAGCAGTGTTCTTTTTATTTATTTATTTATTTTTGACAGGCAGAGTTAGACAGTGAGAGAGAGAGACAGAGAGAGAGTTATAGACAGTGAGAGAGAGACAGAGTAAAAGGTCTTCCTTCCATGGCCGGCGCTGCGCCGATCCGAAGCCAGAAGCCGGGTGCTTCCTCCCGGTCTCCAACGCGGGTGCAGGGACCCAAGCACTTGGGCCATCCTCCACTGCTTTCCCGTGCCACAGCAGAGTCCAGCAGTGTTCTTAAACCACATGAATTATCTATCACTTTTTCGCTTGCCTATCTCCTACACTGAGCCCTTTTATTTCCTTTCTGAAATGGACTGGTTGTGCTCTAGTGTTGCTGCCCAGTTTTCTTTGTTCTATGTTGAATACTCTTATTCCTGGATTCTACATCTTATTTATTAATTTCCTCCCTGTTTTGCTGGAGAACATCTTCTAGCAGTTTCCTGAGACTGTGTCATAGGAGAATTTTTTTTGAGACCTCACCCTGGATTAGCAACTAGTTTGAGGGGCCAGGATTATTATATAGCGAGTTAAAAGACTGCTTGGGACACTGGCGTTCCATATCAGAGTGCCAGTTTGAGTTACATCTGCTCTGCTTCCAATCCACCTTTGTGCCAATGCGCCTGGGAAAGCAATGGAAGATGGGTCCCTACCACCCCTGTGGGAGACATGGATGGAATTCCTAGCTGCTGGCTTTGGCTTGGCCTAGAGCTGGCTGATTGAAGATATTTCTCTGTGTCTCTTTCTCTCTCAAATCAATCAATCAATCAATCTTTTTTCTTTCTTTTTTTTTTTTTTTTTTAAGATTTATTTATTTGAGTTACACAGAGAGAGGAGAGGCAGAGAGAGAGAGAGAGAGAGAGAAGTCTTCATCCACTGGTTTACTCCCCAATTGGCCGCAATGGCTGGAGCTGCACTGATCCGAAGCCAGGAGCCAGGAGCTTCTTCCGGGTTTCCCACTTGGGTGCAGGGGCCCAAGGACTTGAGCCATCTTCTACTGCTTTTCCAGGCCATAGCGGAGAGCTGGATTGCAAGTGGAGTAGCTGGGTCTCGAACCGGCGCCCATATGGGATGCCGGCACTTCAGGCCAGGTGTTAACCTGCTGTACCACAGCACCAGCCTCTCAATCTCTTTTTTCTTCGTAACTTGTTTGATTATAGATTCTAGGTTGAGAAAGTTTTCTCAGGAGTTTTCAGTCTTTTTTCACTTGTAACTTCCAGTGATAAAAATGGATGATTGACAGTCTGCCGTTTGTAATCCCAGTTCCTTGTTTGCTATCTCTCTGAAAGATTTTAAGATTTTTTTTTCTGTTCTCTGAAATTTTGTGATGATGTGCCAAAGTATAAGTTGTTTTAATTCAGTATGCTAGTTATTTGGTGGACCTCTTTCCAAATCAAGGATTCATTTTCTCATTCAGGGAAATTGTTTTATTGTTCTTGATCATTTCCTCTCTTTTGGTTTCTCTGTTCTCTTTCTGGAATATTTGTTGATTGTATTTTAGACCTCTTTGATCCTGTGATATGGTTTTGTTTTTTTCAGATGGCATGATTTTTTTTTTAAAAGATTTATTTATTTGAAAGCCAGAGTTACAGAGAAGCAGAGGCAGAGAGAGAGAGAGAGAGAGAGATCTCCCATCCCCTGGTTCACTCCCCAATTGGCCACAACTGCTGGAGTTGCACCGATCTGAAGCTAGGAGCTTCCTTCAGGTCTCCCATGCAGGTGCAGGGTCCCAAGGACTTGGGCCATCTTCTATTGCTTTCCCAGGCCATCAGCAGAGAGCTGGATTGGCAGTGGAGCAGCCAGGACTCAAACCAGCACACATATGGGATGCTGGTGTTGCAGACCAGGGCTTTCACCTGCTGTGCCATAGCGCCAGCCCCTATGATATGTTTTTTAAAGATTTATTTATTTACTTGAAAGCAGAGTTAGAGAGAGGGAGGTACACAGAGAGATCTTCCATCTGCTGTTTCACTCCCCAAATGACTACAACAGCTGAAGCCATGAGCCTTGTACTCCATTTTGGTCTCCCTTGTGAGTGGCAGGGACCATCTTCTGCTGCTTTCCTTGGACACATTAGCAGGAAGCTGGATCAGAAGTGGAACAACTGGGACTCAAACCTGAACTCTATGGATGCTGGCATCACAAGCTTAACCTGTCATGCCGCAACACTGACCCTCTCCTCCATGATATTTCTTACCCTTTTTGTCATTCATTTGTCATATTCTAACCATTTGTTGCCCAACTGTTCTGAAGTTTTAGATTCTGACATGTATGTCATTTCTAAGACTCTTTGTATTCTGTGTTTTGTTTTAATCATTCCTTTCTTATTTTACTTGTTTAGTATCTTATTTCTCTGAAATTAAGGGTATTAATTATAGCCTTTGAAAATTTTATTCTATTTCTTACATGTTACCTGTTTCTTCTGAGTTCCTTTTTTCAGTTGGCTGGTTTGTTTGATTTCCATCTTAACATGTCAGACTTCTCTGAATACCTGTGGGTCATATGCTGTCTGGTTATAACTAATGAGAAATTCTGAGTATATTGGGCAGAAATTGTATAATGATAATTAAGCAGCAAGAGAAATATTTTATTAGGAAAAATTCCGAATTGGTGTCTATAGTCTTTTGTGTAGGACTTTGTAGTTTCTTAAGAGGAAGATGTCCCATTTCTCCTATGTTATTGTGTGTATTCCTAACTACTAGCATTCAAGAACTGGGGATGAGGTGGGGTAGGGTGAGATGGTGCTAAGGTATTAGTAAGTGTGTAAACTTTCACTTATGTCCTCCATTTTCAAGTGACAACTTATTGTGACTTTCCACTATACCTGGGGTCCCTGAGTTTAGAACCTTTTGATTCAGTTTCACTGGAAAATCATTTGCTGATTCTGACTGGAGGGACAGTGCTCCACCTGTGTGAGCCATCTACTCCTTATGTAGACTGTCATCTCATTCCTCTTTCATCCTCACCTTTTTGATACCAGAGGCTCTAGCTTCTGAGACTTTCTGGGAGGCAGGGTGTGAGGATTGTGGGGGAGGAAGTCAAACCACTCTCTTTTTACTGGTATTCATATCTGTAGGCAGCTGGATTTTATTTAACACCATTTTATCACATCAGTTAATCATGAAGAGAGAATGGAACTAAGTACCTGTTAAACCCACCATATTTAACTAGAAACTCTTGTAAAAACTTCCTAGTTTTAAAATATCATTCTTTATTCATTTCTGTTCTACCTTCATGCAGAGCTGGCAGAGTTGCCTTTGATACGGTTAGACTTCTCATGCAATAAAATTACAACAATCCCTGTCTGTTATCGGAACCTGCGGCACCTCCAAATGATAACCCTAGATAACAATCCACTACAGTCGCCTCCTGCACAGGTAAATCAGAGTGGAAGTATGTTACAGGCTTTTCTTGAATAAGGATGAAATTTGAAATTTAATTATGCACAATTATCTGCTGGTTAGAAATTAAGTTCTTTTTTTTAAATGTTTTTTTTTTTTAAGATTTATTTATTTATTTGAAAGGCAGAGTTACAGAGAGAAAGAGAGAGAGAGAGGTAGAGGCAGAGAAGGAGAGAGAGAGAGAGAATCTTCATCCACTGGTTCACTCTCCAAATGGCCACAACGGCCAGGGCTGGGCCAGAGCAAAGCCAGGAGTCAGGACCTTTATCTGGGTCTCCCACATGGGTGCAGGGGCCCAAGTGCTTGGGCCATCTTCCGCTGCTTTCCTAGGTTCTTTAGCAGAGAGCTGGATAGGCAGTGGAGCAGCCAGAACTCAAACCAGCTTGGGTGTGATTTAAGCTACTGTGCCAAAGTGCTGGCCCTGATAACTAAAACCTTATGACTATGGGCTGGCTCTGTGGCACAGTAGGTTAATCCTCCACCTGTGACACCAGCATCCCATATGGACACCAGTTCAAATCCCGGCTGCTCCTCTTTCAATCCAGCTCTCTGCTATGGCCTGGGAAAGCAGTAGAAGATGGCCCAAGCACTTGGGCCCCTGGACCTGCATGGGAGACCCTAAAGAGGCTCCCAGTTCCTGGTTTTGGACCAGCCCAGCTCTAGCCGTTGCGGGCATTTGGGGAGTGAGCTAGTGGATGGAAGACCTTTCTCTATGTCTCTCCCTCTCACTGTCTGTAATCCTACCTTTCAAAAATAAATAAATAAAATCTTAAAAAAAAAAAACCTTATTACTAAACTTAATAATAGTAAAAGGGTCTCATAAACTTTAAAGAATTTGACGTTTACAATAGGTAGCAACAGAAATGTATATGACTGTAATATTTCATCATTTCTTGCTCTCTTTATTACAGAAAACAGAATGAAAAGCATAATCATGTATGATTGTTGGATTCCTAAAGGCGAAAGTTACCAGTATAATTTATTGAGGAAAAATTCTTTAAATCATTGATTATATATAACTAATGAGCATTATAAGCTTATGTAGTATTCTAATAGTGTAATTATTATTTATCTATTTTGTGTGTTACTGAAACTTATAAGTGATTAGAAAATATAAACTTATATTTACCAGTTAAATACTTAAATAACACTGCTCTGGGAGACCCGGATGGAGCTGCTGGCTCTTAGCTTCTGTCTGGCCCAGCTCTGGCCACTGGGGCCATTTGGGGAGTGAACCAGCAGATGGAAGACCTCTCTATCTGCCCCGCCCCCCCCCCCCATTCTCTCTCTGCAACTCTGCCTTTTAAATAAATAAAACTTTTAAAAAATTATTGTACATACTTGACAGAAATGTCTTGTATCCTGTTTATATTATGTAAAAAGCTCACTACAGTAAAAGAATATATGTTTTAGACTCATAGTAATTTAATTACCTTTATGTATTACTTTCTTTAGATATGCATAAAAGGCAAAATCCACATCTTTAAGTACCTGAACATACAAGCTTGTAAGATTGCTCCTGATCTACCAGATTACGATAGGAGACCCTTGGGTTTTGGCTCCTGGTGAGTATGTTCTTATTCTTTTATCTATTATATTCTTGCACAGGATGCAAACTGTATCTAAATTTGTTTGAAAGTTTGACTAAAGATAATTATCCTGTTTTAGCACTCTTATTCTCAGAATGCTTGTGTTAAGTGTAAAGTTGATTACATCGATCTGAGAAAGTGTAGTTCTAAGTCATGATTTAACAGCCTTGGCATAATTGATGTTTTAGGCCAGATTATTCTTTGTTGTGTTGTCCCGTGTATTTTAAGAATTTTAGCAGCATGTCTGGGCTTTGCCTCCTAGATACCAGTGGCACCCTCTTAAGTGGGACAAACAAAATGTCTCTAGACATTGCCAGTGTCCCCTGGGGAGTCCCCAGCTGAATGCCAGTCTTCTTAACTTTAGCTCTGTTGCTTACAAGCTTGTGACTTAAGGCAAGTCATTTGCACTTTTTGGGCTTTTTTTTCCCACAGGGAGTTGAAGAGGTTGAATTTTTTACTACTAACATCACTTCAGTATCTTTTAGACTGTGAATCCCTCTGCTCCATAGCACATGACTTATAAGGTCATCTACTTGGCAGACCAAACCATATGAAATAATCTTCAGTAACAGGAATTAAATCCGAGGCCTTGAAACAGGCAAGATAGATGTCCCAGTGAAGATGCACTAATGCTCATGAACTGTACTCAACAGAGAACCCCTCAGGTCTTCTCTTGGAATCTGCTGATTTTTGCTTAAAAATCAGTGCTAATGAGCTTGCTTTTTTTTTTTTTTTTAAGACATTTATTTGAAAGTAAGAATTAAAGAGAGGGAGAGGCAGAAAGATCTTCATCCCTTCTTCATTCCCCAAATGGCCACAATGGCCAGGGGTAGGCCAGGCCAAGTCCAGGAGCCAGAAGCTTCATCCAGGTCTCCCACATGGATAGGGCCCAAGCTCTTGGACCATCCTCTCTGCTTTCACAGGCACATTAGCAGGGAGCTGTATCATTAAGTGGAGCAGCCAGTTCTCAAACCGGGGCCCATTTGGGATGCTTGCACTCCAGAATGTTTAACCCTCTGTACCACAGCACCAGCCCTGACCTTGTTTCTTAGTTTCCTTTTTTAAAACAGATTAACAAATATCCATGGCTATAGAGTTTACAAAAGCAGACATATTTATAAGTACAAAAATTAATTTGGCCGGCGCTGCGGCTCACTAGGCTAATCCTCCGCCTTGCAGCGCCGGCACACCGGGTTCTAGTCCCAGTCAGGGTGCCGGATTCTGTCCCGGTTGCCCCTCTTCCAGGGCGGCCATTGAAGAGTGAACCAACGGCAAAAAGGAAGACCTTTCTCTGTCTCACTGTCCACTCTGCCTGTCAAAAAAAAAAAAAAAAAAAAAATTGAAGACAAAAAAATCTAACAAGCAGGCACATGATAAACCCAAAATTTCTAATGTTTAACTCTGAAAGAAGGACATGAAGATGTCTTGTGAAAGGGGCTAAGGGTGCTGTGGAAGTACTAATAATGTCTCAATGTTTTTAAAAGCCATGACTCTTACAGATATTTTTAATATCCATATGCTGTTCTTCATAATTCTGGTAAGATATTTAAAAAATTAAAGCTCTGAAAACAGGCAGTTTTATATCATTAGGCATATATGCAAATAACCCTTCCTTTTTCAATATTTTAAGTTATTACTGTACTACAAAGATTATAATAATTAATACTCATTCACGGCTGTCTCCTCTGGGACCCCGTCCTGGGCATGGCCTCTCCCACACTCCTCCAGGCTCTCCATACCTTTGGACCTTGCCACGACCCTGAAGGCTCTTCCGTTTGGGTTTTTGGACCACATACATTCTTCCTACCTTCACCTGCAGAGATCTGAGAAGCCCTCAGAGAACTCGCCCCATGACCCAAACCCCTTTTTCACACGGGGAGGAGCACAGCCTGGGTGCTTGCCTCTGGGCCACAGCTCCTCAGGGCGCAGCCTCCGAGAGCGTCTCTTCCTTGGGCCCACAGAGAGCAGCATGGTGGTGCTGTGGTGCAGACACAGGCAGAGGAGACATGGGTGTGGAGGTGACTGGCCTGTGGTTCCTTTTCCCTGCTGTAGGAGGGATTACGTTCCTGCAAGTTGAGGCCTTTTTTTTTTTTTTTTAAGATTTATTTTATTTTACTTGAAAGTCAGAGTTACATAGAGAGAGAAGGAGAAGGAGAGGCAGAGAGAGAGAGGTCTTCCATTCACTTGTTCACTCCCCAATTGGCTGCAATGGCTGGAGCTATGCCGATCCGAAGCCAGGAGCCAGGAGCTTCTTCCAGGTCTCCCACACTGGTGCAGGGGCCCAAGGACTTGGGCCATCTTCTATTGCTTTCCCAGGCCACAGCAGAGAGCCGGATCAGAAGTGGAACACCCGGGACCTGAACCGGCACCCTTACGGGATGCCAGCACTGCAAGTGGTGGTTTTACTTGCTAAGCCACAGCACCGGCCCTGGCCTTTTCATTTTCTAAAAAGACTGCCTAAGCCGATGAAAGCCCACGGCTTCCTTATAAAAAGTGAGGTTGCAAAAAAAAAAATAACAAAATAAAAAAAGTAATGCTCATTAAGAAAATGTTATATTAAATACATATCATTTTCAGAAGTGAAATTTGCATTCTAAATTTAAGCTTGTATCAGAAATTATTGAAATGAAAGATTTAAGTGTTTATAGTGTAAAGGAACAAACTCAAACTGTCTGAAAATTTCAGTTGTACAAAACATAATTTGTCAGGTAAATAAACTGTTCCTCCACAGGGTTTTGTCTATCCTTTGGTACAGACCATGCCTTTCTTCTTCACTACCTTATCCCTAGCTCAAGTGCTTGACAGATATTTATGAAATTAAAGAACAGTGAATTTAATCACAGAAACGTTGCTTCCCTTGTATTTTTCTTGTGTTTAAAGTTATGAAAGATAACCTTGTAGGTGAGGTTCTAAGGTTTTTGGTCTGGCTATTAAAGAGTTACATAGATACTTTGAAGGAGATGGAAAACATCTCCAATCTGAATGTTAAAACACAAATTAATATTAAATAATATATTTAATATATAATTAAATATACTAATAAATATTAGTATATTTATACAAGTATACAGATCATACATACTGATGGAAGATGATCACCAACAACATCCTCGGTCCTGATATTTATGACTGAGAGAACTAAAGGCAGGTATGTGGTGGTACAAAGGCACAGTGCCTGTGCTGCCGGCATCCCATATGGGCACTGATTGGTGTCCCGGCTGCTCCTCTTCCAATCCAGCTCTCTGCTGATGGTCTGGGAAAGCAGCAGAGGATGGCCCAAGTTCTTGGGCCCCTGTACCCAAGATCGGCCCAACTCTGGCCATTGCAGCTATTTGGGGAGTGAACCAGTGGGTGGAAAACCTTTCTTTGTCTCTCCCTCTCTTGTCTGTAACTCTACTTCTCAAATAATAATAAAACTTAAAAAAAGATCATATGAATGGTCAATAAGCATACAGTAAAATATTCAGCATCACTAGTCATCGGAGAAATACAAATTAAAATCACAGTGAGATAGTGTGATACTACTTTGACTCACCAGAATAGTTAAAATTTTGACTAACATTAACATATTGGCAACTGTAACACAAATAACATTTATGGTAGAAATGTTTGACTACTTTTGAGAACAGATCTGGCAGTTTTTTAAAAAGCTAATCCTAATACCATATAACTCACCCCTCTACTCCAAAGCATTTACCCAGAGCAATGGAAGCAAATGTTCATACAAGACTTTGTCACTGATGTTCATGGCAGCTTTATTCACCATAACACCAAACTGCAAACAATCTACGTGCCCATCATCTGAAAGTGGATTCTTAAAACTGTATTCATACCAAGGAAAGTTAGTGATTAAAAGAACATCATGACTTTCACTGACTTGATACTGAACAAAAAAAGCCAGACAGAAAGTTATTGTATTTTTTTTAAGTTTTCAAATAAGCAAAACTAATTTTATTTTCCGGTTCTCTAAGTCAGAAGTCTAATGCGTTTTCATCGGGCTAAAATCAAGATGCTGATAGGGTTGCATTCCTTTCTGTGGGCTCTGAGTAGAATCTGCTCCCTTGTCTTTTCTGACTTCTAGTGGCTGTCTGCCTTTCCTGGCTCATGGCTCCTTCCTTCTTTGAGTCAGCATCACATCACACTGACCTTCTCTTTTGCTTCCCTCTTCTACTTTCAAAGACCTTGTGATTATATTGGGCCCATTTTAAAATAAAATTCAGAGTAATCTTGCTATTTTAAGGTCAGCTGAAAAGCAGTCCTTATTTCTATCTTCATCCTTAGTTCTCTTTGTCTTAGAAGGTATCATACTCAAAAGTTCTAAGGATTGGGAGGCAGGCATTTTTGGGGACAATTATTGAGCCTTTCACATTAATCTGAGGTGGAAAAGTCAGAGTGATGGTTGTCTCTGAGGACCACACAGGGGCAGGCAGGGTGAGAAAAATTAGCCAGGAAAGGATGTATGAAACTTGGTACCAAAGTAGAAAAGTTCTATATCATGATATAGGTATATGCTATAAAATATACATGCTAAAATGTGTGCATTTCCATGTATGTAAATTTTACTTTAAAAAAAATAGCTGATGGCTGTTAAAAGTAAAAATGGGTGGGCACTTAAGCCTAGGAATTAAAAAGAAGCTTGTGTCCCATGTTGGAGTACCTGGGTTTGATCCCCAGCTCCAGCTTTCTGCCATGCAGGCCCTGGAAAGCAGCAGTGGTGACTCAAGTAATTCAATTCCTACCTAATACATGGGAGACCTTCATTGAGTTCCTGCTTCCCAGCTTTGGCCCAGCCTTGCCATAGCCATTGCAGGCATGGAGGGGTGGATCAACAAATGGAAAGCTTGATCTGTCTCTCTGCTTCTCAAATAAATAAATAAATATTTTAAAAGGGAAAACAGTTGAGTGGGATAAAGGAAATGGGTGGAGGCATAGATGAAATAAGAGTTGTAGAATGACAGCATTTTTGAAGCTGGATGATAAATACATGGGGCTCGTACTATTTTGTTTACTTTATTTCTATTTGTATTTTTCGTATTAAAAATTAAAAATACCCAGTTAGGCTTAATAGGTAGCTAAGTGCCTTGAAAATGTTTATTAGTCAGAATTCATCTGGTTTATTTCAAACATTAATTGTTTCAAGATTTATGTATTGCCAGCTCCGCGGCTCACTAGGCTAATCCTCCACCTAGCGGCGCCGGCACACCGGGTTCTAGTCCCGGTCGGGGTGCCGGATTCTGTCCCGGTTGCCCCTCTTCCAGGCCAGCTCTCTGCTGTGACCCGGGAGTGCAGTGGAGGATGGCCCAAGTGCTTGGGCCCTGCACCCCATGGGAGACCAGGATAAGTACCTGGCTCCTGCCATCGGATCAGTGCGGTGCGCCAGCCGCGGCGGCCATTGGAGGGTGAACCAACGGCAAAAGGAAGACCTTTCTCTCTGTCTCTCTCTCTCACTGTCCACTCTGCCTGTCAAAAAAAAAAAAAAAAAAAAAAGATTTATGTATTTATTTGAAAGAGTTATAGGGGTAGAGGGGGAGAGATTTTCCATCCGCTGGTTCACTCCACAAGTGGCCACAATGGCCGGGGCTAAGCACGGCTGAAAGCAGAAATCAGGAACTTCATCCTTGTCTCTTATGTGGGTGGTAGGGGCCCAAGTACTTGGGCCATCTTCTTCTGCTTTTTCCAGCCATTAGCAGGGACATGAACTTGCACCTTTTTGGGATACCAGCATTGCAGTTGGTAGCTTTACCTGCTATGCTGGTCCCCTCAAATGTTAATTTTTAAAATACATACTTTACAGTAACAAGTAAAGTCTCTTTTTGGCAGTCATGAAGAACTGTACTCAAGTCGCTCTTATGGAGCCCTAGATTCCGGTTTCAACAGTGTGGACAGTGGTGATAAAAGATGGTCAGGGAATGAGGTAAGTGTTTCTCCTATTCTGTGTGTTACCACTCCTGAGGAAGAAAAAAAATCAAATGATTTAAAGTGGAAAGTATCTTAATGGGACTCAATTTCTTATTACATAAAATATAAAAATGTCAAGAGAGGGACAAAATTCCCATATAGTCCTACCATTCAAAATGGCTTTCTGTTTATTTACCATCTCTTTACCATGTGCTTTTATTTTTACATGCTTCTTACCTCATGGTACAAATAATTTCATACCATGGAAAGCCAAACAGGAGCTGAGCAAATTAAACCTGAGGCCTAAAATTTGAGGAGTTGTATCATCTTGAGCAGAGGTAGTAGAAGGGTGCTGGAAATTGAGGAAGCAAATGACAGGAACCTTAGAGAAAAATATCCACACGCTCAAGATAAATAACTTTCTTAGCTATTATTTTTCTGTTTTAACTCTTGATCCTGTATTTTCTGCTTTTCTAAGTCACCGAAGTATATTTTAGCTATAAATTAGAATAAATAGCAACAAAAGCTTTTGTTAAAAAAGCCGGTAGCCTAGCACTTTTAACACTGTTTCATTAAGAGTTCAAAACAAATTAATTTTAGACCACAGCCCATTTGTACTTGGGAATGGCTAGTGTATGGGTATCTGGGTGGCAGTGTACATAATGTGGCACTATACATACAGATACATATACATAGATGCCTTATGTACATACTGTGTTTACAGAGCCATGAAAACTTCTGTTTCTTCTTTTTTGTTAAAATTATGGTAAAATATACATAATATAAAATTAACCATTTTAACCATTTCTAAGTGTACATTTCACTACATTAAGTGTTCACATTGTGGTACAACTGTCACCAAAGTTTTTGCTGTTTCTTCTCAAATGTAAGTTTCAATGAGTTTATAACATGCCCATACTTTACATGCTTGTAAAGTAAAATTAGAAATTGTTTTTATTAAAATGTTTCTATTTTTTTAAGCCTACAGATGAATTTTCAGATCTGCCTCTTCGAGTAGCAGAGATTACTAAAGAGCAGAGACTAAGAAGAGAAAGCCAGTACCAAGAGAATCACAACAGCTTAGTAGTAACAAACGGTGGAGGTAAACATAATTCCAATGACATCTGAAGTCTTAATAATCACTTTAACTTTTTTAAGTAGTCTTTTTCGCATGTCCTTTTTTGGTGTGCCCATAGCTGCTTTACTCTTCTTTTAAAGACTTCATAATGACTGAAAAAAATTTATTTTCTCTTGGTATTAAAGTTCAGTGTCTCTGTTTTCAGGCTTGCAATTCTTTTTTTTTTTTTTTTTTTATTTAAGATTTTATTTATTTATTTGAGAGGTAGAGTTACAGACAGTGAGAGGGAGAGACAGAGAGAAAAGTCTTCCTTCTGTTGGTTTACTCCCCAAATGGCTGCAACAGCCAGAGTTGCGTCTATCCGAAGCCAGGAGCCAGATGCTTCTTTCTGGTCTCCCATGCGGGTGCAGGGGCCCAAGTACTTGGGCTATCCTCTACTGCTTTCCCAAGCCATAGCAGAGAACTGGATTGGAAGAGGAGCAGTCAAGACTACAACCGGCATCCATATGGGGTGCCAGCACTGCAGGTGGAAGATTAACCTACTGCGCCACAGCACCAGCCCCCAGGCTTGCAATTAAAACATAGAGTTTAAAAAAAAAAAACAACAACAACAAAAAAAAAACATAGTTTGTCTTTTGTTTTTACTTTTGGAAGAAACTTTAATAGAGGCAATTTCACCAGAAATAGATCTTTGTTCATCTTGATTTAACCATGATGTTCTTTTAAAGTACCATTCTCCCTGTTTAAGATTCTTCCTGTAGTCATTGTCTGATGTTTTTCAGTAATTCAGTGCATTACTTACTGTTTATTTTTCTTTCATCTGGAATATGCTCTTCAAGGGCATCTGAATCCCAGTTTTTCTTATTCTAACATTTAAAATTCTGGAATTTTTTTTTTTTAAGTTTTACTTATTTGAAAGGCAGAGTGATAGGGAGAGACCAAGGAAAGAGCAAAAGAGTTTCTACTGGTTCACTCCCCAAGTGGCTGCAATAGTTTTGGCTGGGCCAGGCTGAAGCCAGGATCCAGGGGCTCCATCCTGGTCTCCCATGTGGGTGACAGGAGCCCAGGTACTTGGACCATCATCCACTGCCTTCCCAGGCAAATTAGCAGGGTGGTGGATTAGAAGTAGACTAGCAGGGACTCTCTGATATGGAATGCAGATGTCCTAAGCAGGCACTTTAACGTGCTGGGCCACAGTACCTGTCCTGTAACACAGACTCTCAGTTTTAGCATTCTGTTCCATATTGCTTTAGTTTGACTTACTAAATAGTAATGTTTACATTTTCTGAGTAATTTACAAATTAGAAAAGACTTTGATTTGCGACTCAGGTATTTTCTGAAAAGAGTTTTTATCCCTGAATGATTATTTCAATTTACTGGTTGGCTGTCTTTGTTTTCTATGTCATTTTATGCTCTTTTTTCATACCTGTCACTTACCATGCCATTCTCATTTCAATAATTTTCTCTTAATTTTGTTCTCAGGTGAAATATCTTTCCCATTAGTTCACTTAAGACTTAAAGTATCTGGATCTGTGTTTTCCAAAATGGTAGCCACTAGCCACCAGTAGATATCCCTCATTGGAAATGTGGCTTTTCTGTATTGAGAGGCACTGTTAGTGTAAAATACACAACAGATTTTGAAGACTTCATATGAAAAAAGAATATAGAGGCCAGCATTGTGGTGCAGTAGTTTAAATAGCTGCTTGCAACACCATCATCACATATTAGAGTGCTGGTTCAAGTCGCAGCTACTCTACTTCCAATCCAGCTCCCTGCTCATGAGGCTAGGAAGGCGGCAGATGGTGGCCCAAGTACTTGGGTCCCCTGCTACCCAAGAGGGAAACTTCTCTGCAGTTCTTGGCTTCTGGCTTTGGCCTGCCTAGCTCAACCTGTTGGGACCATTTGGGGAGTGATCCAGTGAATGGAGGGTCCTTCTGTCTTTCCTTCTCTCTCTGAAACTCAGGACTTTCAAGTAAATAAATAAATAAATATTTTAAGGGAAAAAAAAGAATATAAAATATAATTGATATTTTGTATTCATTATACAAAGATATTTCAAAAGTTTGTGGAAAATAGAATTAAAAGTTAGGTTTATGGCTGGCACCGCGGCTCACTAGGCTAATCCTCCGCCTGCTGTGCCGGCACTCTGGGTTCTAGTCCCGGTTGGGGTGCTGGTTCTGTCCTGGTTGCTCCTCTTCCATTCCAGCTCTCTGCTGTGGCCCAGGAACGCAGCGGAGGATGGCCTAAGTGCTTGGGCCCTGCACCCACATGGGGGACCAGGAGGAAGCACCTGGCTCCTGGCTTCGGATCAGCACAGTGCTCTGGCCATAGCAGCCATTTGGGGAGTGAACCAACGGAAGGAAGACCTCTCTCTCTCTCCCTCTCTCACTGTCTAACTCTGCCTGTCAAAAAAAAAAATATGTCTTACAGAAAAACTGTACATGGGTTTTTTGACATCAAATTAAACTTACCTTTTCATTCTATTTTCCAGAAACGTTTTGAAACACACTCATGTTGAAATAACATTTAGTTATACTGAGAAAACAAAACACATTGTTAAAATTAATGTCACTTTATTTTTACTTTTTTTTTTTGTAATGTGGCTTCTTGAAAATTTAAAATTACACATGTGGTTCACTTTTGTGGCTTGTATTCTATTTCTCTGAGACCACATTGGTCTAGATAGTATAAAGAAGTAATGTTGCTTTCCTGGGCAAAGATCATAATCTAAACCATTTATTTAGTCAGACAAATTGTAGGACATTGAAAAAATACATTATGTACCTGGTTTCTATTGTAGATGTAGACTTATAACCATTTCATCTTTTTTAGCCATTAATAAAACTCATATTAAAATTCATTTTATATTATACTTTTGGAATTATTTAGAAATAATTAAATCAGAGGACTAAATTGAGAAGTAGACTTATCCAAATTCATCATGCCCGGCAACTGCAACTTTTAAGCCTCTGTAGAACACCGTAAGATAGTGCCAAGTTTTTAGTGCATCCCTGGGGAAACCATCTTTAGTAGCAAGTTTTAGTTCTATTGTGCCATTTAACTAAATGTTAACAAATAATTACTTTAAGTTTAAAAATAGTGTAGTAGCCCCAAGCTTACAGGTAAAACAGTGGTGTGGCTAAGTCTTATTTATATGTTACTTGTCATCATACAGCATTTTGAGAAGAATAAAATCCTCAAATGATTCTCTTCTAAATGCTGCAAAATATCTACAACACTGACCCCTAGCAAATAAGTTTCTAAATAGGAAAATCTTTGCTCTGATCATGGTTTATTTAAAAACAGAAACAAAAACATTAATTGACAATAGTTACATTCAGAGTAGCCAGTAGTTATTTCTTCCTAATGGGAGCCAATAACTTTCTTTCTCTCCAACTCAACTATACTCCTATGCTTTCTCTTTTTTATTGCCTTCTACTTTTTTTGAGTTGCATATATTGGGTTTTCTGACTCCAGCTCCCTGGTGAGATATTTATTTGAAAGCTAGAGTTACACAGAGAGAGAAGGTGAAGCAGAGAGAGACAGAGGTCTTCCATCCACTGGTTCACTCTCCAACTGGCCGCAATAGCCGGAGCTGAGCCAATCCGGAGCCAAGATCCAGGAGTTTCTTCTTGGTCTCCCACATGGGTGCAGGGGCCCAAGGACTTGGGCCATCCTCTACTGCTTTCCCAGGCCACAGTAGAGAGCTGCATTGGAAATGGAGCAGCCAGGACTAGAACCGGCGCCTGTATGGGATGCCGGCAGCATAGGCAGCAGCTTTACCTGCTACGCCACAGCACCAGCCCCAATCTTTAAAATTTAATCTATCTCACCCTTTCAGGCTGCCTTGTTTAAAACATTAAGGAGCTAACCAAAGAAAAAAGAAATGTTAGAGGTCTCTATTTCAATCATTTCCATCATTTCTTGCATTCTTTAGTGAATTAGGACTACAATTTTCTGGAGACTTATTTATGTGATTAGGCATGGACTAAATAATAAAGGCTTATGTAATTGAAACTTATTAGAATTTCTTTCAGTTTCAGAATAGAAGATGTCAGGGAAAGGAAAGAGCGTTAATTTAAGTTAAAATCTTTTATTGGTTGTCTTAACTTGACTTTTTTTTCTGGTGTGTGTGTGTGTGTGTGTGTGTGTGTGGTATACAGTAGAGCATGATCTGGATCAGATTGACTACATTGACAGCTGTGCTGCAGAGGAAGAAGAGGAGGAGGTGAGACAGCCCAAGGGCCTGGACTCAGACAGCCTCAGTTCACAGTTTATGGCATATATTGAACAACGGCGTATCTCTCATGAGGTAGTACACACATTTAAGCCTAAACATGTTGCTGTCCCCTAGTCAGAACAATTCATGATAGTATAAATTTCTGTCACATCAGTGATTTGTTGGTTTTAGGCCTAATTGTTTTATTCTGTTCACTTCTGATTTCAATCCTGAATTTTTCAGAATGACTCAGCAAACAGTTTAGGTTTATATCTATTTGCAGATAAGAAGACCAATTTCAGAATTTTGAAGAAAAATAAAAAGTACTAAAAGTAGTCGAAGGCCTGTGAAGAAAATACAAAGGAATATTATGCTTTTCTTTGTTGTTACTTTTTTTTATTGTTACTAACTGGCAAATCATAGTTTAGTCAGTAATTAATTAAAAATCAAACTTAACAGTTGACTTTTGAGGCAACACACAAACAACCATAGAATTTCTATAAGAAGTTTAATTATGTTGGAGCTTTATGCTTAGTCACACAGAATACAAATTGTTTGCTGATAAATTCTTGGGTGTCTCTTGCAGTGGAGCATTGACTTGCCTTAGAAGACAAATGAGCATTCAGCCCACTGTAGAACCTCTGCCAATTCCCCAAGGGTCTCAGGAAGAATCACATTCTTCAGTAGAGTCAGTGAAATAAAATGGCTCCACTCTAGTGTGTGATGCTGATGTCTGGAGTCCTTCCCGGACTCTGACCAGGGCTCTTTTCAGAAACACTTGGGGCCTTTTTGGAGTGTGATATATTTATTACTAGCCTTTTAGAAGTCATCACTTTAAGTAGGGCATGTGGAATGAAACTGTCATTCTTTAAAAATATATGTATCCTTCTTTTTTTTCTTTTTTTATCTGAAGGCCTCTGAACATAATACATTCCTGTATCTAAAGTTGAAAAATGTTAATCAGAGTCCCTCAGCCCAGAGATAGCAATGTATCCATTGACTGATGAAGCTACTTGTGGTTTAGGCTATCAGCCTCCCTGTTGGGGCAGAGGACAACTACTTTGAAATAAAATTAACATCATAATTTTAAAGGAGTTATTTTTCTTTTCTTGTGGTCTTTCTCTTTGATCATTATATGGTTAATTAGGCAGTATAGATGGGGTATTACTACTAAAAGTAGAAATGACTGTTATAGGACTATGAAAAATTATAGTGTCATTTCTTTAATCTATTATGTTGGCTCTTCTGTAATATATTTTTTTAATTTTGACTAACCATTATGTATGGAAATTTATATAATTATATATCAGAAGTCTCCATGACTTCAGTGTTGTAATGCTTTCTGAAATTTGGCATCAGTGAAAATACGATGCAACAGTATTATTTTATTCTTTTTGTAAATTTATTTTATTTGAAAGGCAGAGACAGATACAGAGAAACAGACACACACAGAGAGAAAGAGATCTCCCATTTGCTGGTTGACTCCCCAAATACCCACAAGAGGTGAAGCTGGGCTGGGCTGAAACCAGGAACCTAGAACTTAATCTGAGTCTCCTGCATGGGAGGCAGGGACACAACTACTTGAGCCATCACCTGCTGTGACCCAGGGTGTGCATTAGCAGGAAGGTGGAATCAGAAGCAGAGCCAGGACTCAAACCCAGGCACTCTGATACGAAATTCAGGCATTTTAAACAGCAGCTTAACTGCTGCCAAAATGCCTACCCCATTTTAAATGGTTTTACAAGTGAAGAAATACCTTTTCATATTTCTGAATAGTATTTAAAAATGTTTTTTTAAAAAAAAACTAGTGTGTTCTTTGAAGCACTGCTGTTCTCTAATGTTGTTATATCTCCTACATACATATACCAACCCTGCCTGAATAGGGATGATTTATACTTATTTTTAAAATTAAATCACTCTCATTCATTTCGTCATGAAAAATTTCACCTATCTCTTGCATTAAATTTAGATAATTACAGTACCATTGTAAGGAAAAGAGGAGTAGAACAGAGAAGACAGGATATGAACTCACAGCCAAAATGAATTTATTCAAGAACAATAAATTTGCAGAGGTGGCCAGCTGCCAGGAACTGAAATGGTGGAACAAGAACACAAGCCTCAGCCATCTTAGTTCCCTGCCTGAAAGTAAATCAGTTTCGCTGATGGATCCTACATTCTTTAAAGAGACCTGTTCAGTCCCATGCCCTGTACTTTTCCCCCACTCCATCTTCTGCATTCTTTACCTAGTTTGTAAGCCCCAATAACCTGAAAAACCTGAATGAAGAAAGTCACCTCTGACTACTGCCCCCCACCCTCACTCTGGACCCTTAGCCCACCTTAAGGTGCATAAGGCCCAGCTCACTGGCAGGCTGTGCCCTCTGCCATGTGTTCAGCCTGTGTGCATTGGCCACCTCTGCAAATTTATATTTTTCTTTGAATAAATTCATTTTGGCTGTGAGTTTGTGTCCTGTCTCCTCTCTGTTCTGTTTCCCTTTTCCTTACAATCATAAAACCAGGGTGCTAAGTCACTACATAACATTGGAGGAGAGATTTTTATTTAAAAAAAAAATAGCAATGTCACTAAAATTAGAATAATTATTCTCTAATTAGGGTTCTAGCTCAATGTACATGATCTTCATACTCAGATTTTTTTTTTTAATGAGACAGAGACCTTGATCTTATCTTTTACCCACTGGTTCATTCTCTAGATGCCCACAATAGCCAGGGCTTGGCCTTACCAAAACCAGGGGCCAGGGACTCCATCTGATTCTCCCACATGGGTGGCAGGAACCCAAGTACTTGGGCAATCATGCAGTGCCTCCCAGGCACATTGGCTGGAAGCTGGATCAGAAACTGAATAGCCTGGACATGAACCCCAGTGCTCCCATATGGGATGTACATGTGTCAGGTGGCAGCTTAACCTTGTTGCACCACAGTGCCAGCCCCCTTATACCCAGATTTTAGGTCAACATTAGCCTTTTAAGTAACTCACTAAAGAAGATTTTCTGGTTATGAGTAATGGACCTACTTAGAGGTATACTATAAATAAATAGTTTTTGCATTTGATTTTTTGTCTACACAGTTTAGAAGAAAATATTTTTTTCCTTATCATTCTTTTTAAGAATACCCACTTTGATTTTTTTTTTTTTTTTGGTGTTGAAATAAGATGTATAGCTTCTGACAAGTGTGTACTGTGATAATCTTTATCTTTGATTTATAATTTATAATTTCGTTTGTCAATGTGTAATCCATATCACTTAAGCCAGTTTAATTTTTCTCAGTAATGCTTCTTGAAATGGTCTTTCAGTTTGTACATGAACTACCAGTATTTCTTTTTAAATTAATACTGTATTTTAGTATAAATAGAAATTGCTTTTATTTTTATATTCCACAAACCCAGGATTATTTGTATGGCTAAAATAAGAAACAATTTTTGGTAGGGAAGAAGTAGAGAAACATAATCTGCCCAAGTGAGCTCCTTATTACCAGAAATCTTCAAGAGAAACTGAGCAACTGTTAGGGTAGGGCAGGTAAGAATTCCTGTCTTAGATAGAAGTTTGTACTAGATTACCTCCAACTTCCTCTCCAACCCTGCCATCTTATCATTCAGTAAACAAGACTGTATCTGGTTACTATAATTTATATAATACAGTAAGAAGGAAATCTAAAAATAATGTAGATTATGAATATTTCTATTTATCAAAGCAGTAATATGGCCTATATGCTTTTAAACATAAACTTAACATTTGAAGATTCTCTTAAGTATTTTTTAGTATATTGTTCAGATCCCTAAATGTCAGGTTGAGTGTGAACTGTGTAATCACAGTCCCGGATTCATATGTTGAATTGATTTATTTCTGCTTTTTTGGTCTAGGGTTCACCAATAAAGCCAGTAGCCATTAGGGGGCTTCAAAAAACAGAAGATGTAAGAAGATACTCACATCAAAGCAGGTGTGAAAAACCAATTCTGCCTACTTGTTTCTTTCTTGAAACTCAATGATGAGATGAGATGAATATGGTTTTGTGAAGATTTGTGTATAAAGAGAATGTTTAGATATTATGTGTTTTGTGCTCATGTAATTAAAAAGAGGTAAATTGATTGATTGATTATACATTCAGATCACCTAAACTATTATATAATTAACTGATTTGAATATACTTAATGGCTATGGGATTTTGTGCTGATACTATATGGATTCATACAAAAAGGAGATTTGAAACAGAAATCCCCAATTTTTTTATTTGAACTTTTGACTGGATAACAGATAGTGATGTGTATATTCATTCCCATCTCAGTTATTATTATGTTTCCACTATAGTCAGTAGGTACCTCAGAATATTTCTAAAGTTCGCATGACCATTTAGAGCACTGCTTCTCATCTTAAGTTCAAAAAGGTTTCTTGTCATAAACCTTTTCATAGTAGTTAAAAACGTTCCAGTCTTTGGTTCTTGCCTCCTCTCTGTTTTTAAGGTCTTAAAATAGTAGACTTGTTCTTTTTTTTTTTTTTTTTTAAGATTTATTTACTTATTTGAAAGGTGGAGTTACAGAGAGACAGAGGAATAGAGAGAGAGAAAAAAAGATCTTCCATCCACTGGTTCATTCCCCAAATGGCTGCAACGGCTGGAGCTGGGCTGATTGGAAGCCAGGAGCCAGGAACTTCCTCGGGGTCTCCCACGTGGGTGCAGGGACCCAAGGACTTTGGCCATCTTCTACCGCTTTCCCAGGCCATAGCAGAGATCTGGATCAAAAGTGGAGCAGCCAGAACTGGAACCAACACATCCACACAGGATGCCAGCACTGCAGGCAGCGGTTTACTCACTATGCCACAGAGCTGGCTCCATATGCCTGTTCTTAAGTAGCAGTAAATTTATGTGTAGAACAACCTGTCATACATAGTTTTTTTATTCACACTAGAGTATTAAAGTTATCTCAGGGACAAAGGTGCAGATGGAATAAAGAAAATGTAGGAAGAGTAGTGAAAGAAATCTTGTAGCATTTGATAATCTTATCACTTAATTCATTGAACTTTAGTTAAATTTCACATGCTTTGATGTTTATCTTAGAATGGCCTTTTAGTTGCCATGTGTATTTATACTGAGAATACAATCTTTTGAGATTCCAGTTTCATGCAGGAGTTTCTGTTACATTTCCTCCTCTTGGGTGGGCTCAAGTTCCCTAGGATTTAGCAGAAACCCTCAAGGTAAAAGCCAGCTTTTTTACTTAGTTACCTTATGTATTAGTTTTCTGTTACAAATTCAGCAGCTTAAAACAATACACAGTTGTTGTGTCACAGTTCTGTGGGACATAAGTATAGGCAGGTTCTCTGCTTCAGTCTTCCAAGGCCAATGTCAAGGTGCTGGCTGGCCTCAATTCTTATCTGATGAGTATAGGAAACTCTGTTTTCAGGCCTTGTATATATTGTTGGCAGAATTAAATTCCTTGTGATTATGGGAATGAGTCCCTGTTAACATTTCTGACTATCAGTTGGGGGGTCATTATCTGCTTTTAGAGTCTGCAACATTCCTTTGTTTATGATCCCTTCAGTTTTATTACCCTTTTTCTCTCTTTTTTTTTAAAGATTTATTTATTTGGGGGCCGGCACTGTGGTGCAGCAGGTTAATGCCCTGGCCTGAAACGCTGGTATGCCATATGGGCGCCAGTTCTAGTCCTGGCTGCTCCTCTTCCAATCCAGTTCTCGGCTATGGCCTGGGAAAGCAGTAGAAGATGGCCCAAGTCCTTGGGCCCCTGCACCCATGTGGGAGACCCCGAGAAATTTCCTGGCTCCTGGCTTCAGATTGGCGCAGCTCTGGCCATTGCAGCAATTTGGGGAATGAACCAGCGAATCGAAGACCTCTCTCTCTCTCTCTCTCTGCCTCTCCTCTCTCTCTGTAACTCTGCCTTTCAAACAAATAAATAAATAAATCTTCATCTGCTGGTTCATTCCCCAAATAGTTGCAAGGGCTGGGGTTGGGCCAGGCCAAAGCCAGGACCTAGAAGCTTCATCCAGGTCTCCCATATAGGTGCAAGGGGTCTCCCCTGTGGGTGCAGGGGCCCAAGTAGGGCCATCTTCCACTGCTTTCCCAGGTGCATTAACAGGGAGCTGATTTGGAAGTGGAGTAGCTAGGAGTCAAACCATAACCCATATGGGATGCCAGTGTTGCAGGTGGCAGCTTAAGCTGCCATGCCACAACTGCCCCCATTCCTCCCCACTTCAGTTTCAAGCAACACTAGTAGGCCAAAATCTTCTCACATTTTAGATCTTTCTAACCTCCTTCTCTGCTGCATCTAACAAATTCTTTGGCTTTTCTCTTGCTTTTAAATGCTGCTGAGTACATTAGGACTACCTAGCAATCTCTTGTCATTTTACTTTCAACCAAGTAGTAGCTTGAATTTCATCTGTAAAGTCCCTTTGCCATGTAATGCAACATACTTATTGGAGTTAAGACCTAGGTGCAGAGGTAAGATAGAGATCGTGAGGCCCAAAAATAAGCCTACCACACCTTAATTGAATGTCCTTGTTTTTATTTCTTTTTCAGAATCTCTAGATTCTTTGTTTTTATGGCACCTCAGCAATATATGTTAAAAGTTATCTTGTTAATCAGAATTTTAGTTGTTTCCATTGGAAGAGTCTTTCAGAGTGTTTAATCAGCTTTAGTGCTGGAAACTAAAGCTTTAATACTTTTTAATTGGATGTTTCAAATCACTAGAGCTTAATATGGTCCTTGTGTAAGAACTTCATACTTTATCCCAGTAACCAGTTAAGCTCTAAGATCACTACATATATATTTCATTTATTTAGGTAACAGATATTTGTAGAAAATCTATGTGCCAAGTAATTTGCTAAATGTGGTAGTATAACTATGAACTTAAATGAAAGTCCCTGCCCTCCTGGGTCTTCCATTCAAATGAAATAATGAATTAAAAACAAAATCACCTTAAAATGACTGACAGATCTGAAGTCCACAGATCTTGCCTGTAAGCTGAATAACATATTAACAAAAAAATAATCTGTCTCAGCAGTCTGTCTGTTACAAAGATTCAAAGGAATTGAGTCAGTTTGACAAATTGCTACTTGCTGGGTAGTCATTCCAGACCTATGCTAGTGAGCAGAAAAAGAAAACTACTTTGGGGTGGGTCTTTGGCACAGTGGTTAAGACTCTGGCATCCCATATTAGAGTACCTTAGTCCTGCCTCTGCTCCCATTTCCAGCTTTCTGCTGATGCATACCTGGGGAGATAGCAGGTAATAACTCAATTACCTGAGTACCTGTCACCCATCTGCGAGACATGGACTAAGTTCCAGGTTCCCAATTTTGCCCCAGCCCAGCCCCAGCTGTTGTTGGCATTTGGGGAGTTAACCAGCAGGTAGGAACTCTGTTTCCTTTCTCTCTCTCTCTCTCTCTCTTTCTCTCTCAAATAATAGAAAAGAAAGAAAGAAATGTGGTAGAAGATAGGTATTAAATGGTTTAAAGACACTGTTAAAAATAATATTGCAGGGGCTGGCGCTCTGACGCAGTGGGTTGAAGCCCTAGCCTGAAGTGCCAGCATCCCATATGGGCGCTGGTTCTAGTCCCGGCTGCTCCACTTCCAATCCAGCTCCCTGCTATGGCCTGGGAAATCAGTGGAAGATGGTCCAAGCCCTTGGGCCCCTGCACCTGTGTGGGAGACCCAGAAGAACCTCCCGGCTCCTGGCTTCGGATTGGCACAGCTCCGGCCACTGCAGTCATCTGGGGGAGTGAACCAGAGGATGGAAGACATCTCTACTGTCCCTATCTCTTTCTGTAACTCTGTCTTTCAAATAAATAAAATAAATCTTAAAAAAAAATAGCATTACAGTTGTCACATAAACCCTCTTAAAATGAATTTACTTCTTTTTTTCCTGTTTTATTCCAGTTCATCTGCAGATGGCCAATAAAAGCTATAGGAAATTGTAGCAGTGAAATTAGTGACCTTTAGAGAAAATTGCAGTTAATTTCTTTAATTTTAAATATATAATCGGGCTGGCACTGTGGCACAGAGAGTTAAGCCATGGCCTTCAGTACCAGCATCCCATATGGGCACTGGTTTGAGGCCTGGCTGCTCCACTTCTGATCCAGCTCCCTGTCAATGCACCTGGGAAAGTAGCAGAAGGTGGCCCAAGTGCTTAGGCCCTTGCACCAACATAGAAGACCCAGAAGTAGCTCTGGGCTCCTGGCTTCAGCCTGGCACAACCCCTACTGTTGCATCTATTTGAGGAGTGGACCAGAGGATGGAAGATCCCTCCCTCTATCACTCATCTCTCTAATTCTGCCTTTCAAATAAATAAATAAATCTTTAAACAAGTAATTAATATATAATCATTAGAATGTGCTTTTTTTAAGGTCTGTGTGTATGTGCAACATCTCATTTAATCATAGCATCTCATGAAAGTAAGTAGAAAATGAGGAAACAGGGTTTGTTTGAGTTTATTAAATTAGGCCAGACCATGGAAGATTGGTCTAGGTTTGTGCAAAGTATAAGAATGGGGGGCCCAGCCGGCGCCGCGGCTCACTAGGCTAATCCTCCGCCTTGCGGCGCCGGCACACCGGATTCTAGTCCCGGTCAGGGCGCAGGATTCAGTCCCGGTTGCCCCTCTTCCAGGCCAGCTCTCTGTTGTGGCCAGGGAGTGCAGTGGAGGATGGCCCAAGTAGCAGGCCCTGCACCCCATGGGAGACCAGGAGAAGCACCTGGCTCCTGCCATCGGATCAGCACGCTGCACTGGCCGCAGCGTGCTGGCCGCTGCGGCCATTGGAGGGTGAACCAACGGCAAAGGAAGACCTTTCTCTCTGTATCTATCTCTCACTGTCCACTCTGCCTTTAAAAAAAAAAAAAAAAAAAAAGAATGGGGGGCCCACACTGTGGCACAATAGGTTAATCCTCTGCCCGCGGTGCCAGCATCCCATATGGGTGCCAGTTCTAGTCCCGGCTGCTTCTCTTCCAGTCCAGCTCTCTGCTGTGGCCTGGGAAAGCAGTAGAAGATGGCCCAAGTGCTTGGGCCCCTGTACCCATGTGGGAGACTGGAAGAAGCTCCTGGCTCCTGGCTTCAGATAGGCACAGCTCTGGCCGTTGCAGCCATTTGGGGAGTGAAGCAGCAGACGGACGAGTTTTCTCTCTATTTCTCCCTCTCACTGTCTGTAACTCTACCTCTCAAAGAAATAAATAAAATCTTTAAAAAAAAAAAAAAAAGAAGAAGAAGAGGAAGAAGAAAAGTGTAAGAATGATACCAGGGGAAGGGGTTTGGCACAGCTATTAAGATACAAGTGTGGGATGCTTGCACCACATGTCAGACTGCTCAAATTTGAGTCCTGGCTCCACTCCGTATTCCATCTTCCTGCTAATGTGCACCCTAAGAAGCAGATGTGATTGCTCAAGTAGGTTGGCTCCAGTAATTAATTGATATCTTAAGAGTAGACTTGAAGTAATGAATTAATATGTGGTGACTGGAGGCCTGCCTGAGGAAGGACTCCAGAGTGGGCTTGAGAGTCTGAATGCCACGTTGAAGACTCTTGGTAATAGCAGGTAAGGAGAAACTGCTGGAGCTTTGAGGAATTGTCTTTTATTTCCCCAATAGCACACTGATTGCAAAGCATTTAAATCAGCCTGAAAGGCTAATGATCATAGTTTCAAATTTCAGACCCTAAATGTCAAAAAGTCACTACTCCAACATTTTAAATCACACAGATGAGTTGCACAGGCTTGAAACAATAAATCTGGTTCAAGAAAAAGGTAAATTTCAAACTATAAGAATTAAAACTGAAGAGTAGATGTCATGGTACAGAGGGTTAAGCAGCCGCTTAGGACATCTGCATCCCATGTTGGAGTACCTGATTTAAGTCCCAGCTACTACATACTTCCAACCCAGCTTCTTGCTAATGCACGTAGGAGGCATCAGATGATGGCTCAAGTTGTTGGGCCCCTGCCTCCCAAGTGGGAGATCCTAATGGAGTTCCTGGCTTTGACCTGAACTGGTCCTGGCTGTTGCTGCCATTTAGAGAATGAACCAGCAAATGGAAGATCTTTTCCTCTGTTTTCTCTCTCTCTCTCTCTGTCATTCTACCTTTCAAATAAATAAATTAAAATAATATTGATAAGGGGCAAATAGTACTTTTTAATATTATAACATGAAATAGGTTTTTTTAAGAATAAAAACAATAAACTTTATTATTTCAATTTTTCATCAATTGAAAATAAAGATACAATTGCTTTACAAGTTACCAAGTTCTCTAGTATTTCAGATTTCTGTTGATAAAATGGCTGTGTATGAAAAAGGATCTCAATTTACTTGTATCTTCTTTCAATCATGGTAGTAAAGAAGATAATAGTTACATATGTTATAAGGAAATGATACTGTTTAAAACTTGATCTCATTTAACTGTCATTAATATTGGCTGACAGACATTTGTTACCTAGCTATAGATTAATCAGTGATATCATCACATGAAATGTGAGTTGGAGACATCAGGTATTCCTTGTGGTTTAATTTAATGATGTGGGCTCAGGTTTATAAAATGTAGTTGCTCTTTCATTGTAACTAGACAATTTGCCTACTGATTAATAGAAAGCTACATTAACAACGAAAGCAATTTTACTTGTTCTTTATGTGTCTTTTGTTATCAAAAAGTTTTCCCTTTCTTTTTTCTTTGTGTCAGGGTTCCAGTTGAGCCATCCTCTCTCTTGTCCCTGTCACCAAGTCACAATCAGGTACTTGTTTGTAGATTTTTCTTAATGTTTTAATTTTTTTGATTAAAATAGTTTTCTATTTAAATTGCCATCAATTTTCAGATGCTTGTAAACTTTATTACCTGTCTCCTCAATCGGTTAATATGCCATATACACATGATACTTGCTAACAGTGTTTTTAAATACTAGGCAGAAAAGAAATCTTCACCTCCATAATGATTTTATAGTACATATAAAATAGTACAAAGATGAGAGAAGGATTAGCAGTAACACATTTAAGGAAGTGCTAGGTGACTGCAAAATAAAAGTTGCTTAGGTCAGCAGTAGGTTTCCTAAGTTGATAAGGAGTATTGATAAGTTGATCCTTATCCTCACTTGGGCTTGCAAAATGATGCTTTTTGTTCCAGCTGTCACATGCAGACTTGGAACTTCATCGGCGAAGAGAACAGTTAGTAGAGCGCACTCGGAGAGAGGCACAGCTTGCTGCCCTGCAGTATGAAGAGGAGAAAATAAGGACCAAGCAGATTCAGAGAGATGCTGTCCTGGACTTTGTCAAGGTGAGTCATTTGAATTCACTGAATGATGTTCTTTAAAGTTACTTAGCAGCAAGTGCTTGTTTTTGCTGAAGCCATTGGTTTTCATCAACATTTTTCTCTCTGATATAAGAGTTCTTGACTGAATATCAATATCAGTATCAAGTGACTATCCCTATTTGTGATTAATTGTCCTCATGCCTATTGTGATTATCTTGTTTAACAGTAATCTGTTCCCCTTGAGCAGTCTGCCATCACTCTGCCATCCAGCTGCCATTTCCTTACTCTCCAGTGTCACAGTAAACATCAGCAAGATTATGAAAGTGGCAGTGTGTGTAAAAGTGCCATGCAGGAGCAGTTGTGACACAGCTGGGAAGCCTCTACTTGCAATGTTCATATCCCATATTAGAGTGCCTGGGATCAAGTTCCACCTCCACTTTTTATCCAGCTGCCTGCTGATGCACCTGAGAGGCAGCAGATGATGGCCCACATACCTGGTTCCCTGACACCCATGGGAGACCTGGATGAGGTTCCTGGCTCCTTGTTTTGGCCTGGTTCAGACTCAGCTGTTGCAAGCATTTGGCGAGTGAACCAATGGATTGAAATCTCTTTTTCTCTCTCTCACTCTCTGTCTCCACTCTTCCCACCTCTGCCTTTCAAATAAGTGAATAATAAAACTTTTTTTCAAAAGGGCCATGCAAATGTAAAGTATTATTCTCTGAACCTCTCTTCAAATTCCTTACTCTACTAAATACCAAAAATTTGCTATACGCGGATTTGATCCTTTACAGTCATCTTTGATTCTTTATTTTGATCTCCATACCCACTCAGTGAATAATCCCTTTTATTTATTTACTTATTTTTAAAGATTTATTTATTATTTGAAAGAGTAACACAGAGGAGAGGCAGAGAGAGAGAGAGAGAGAGAGAGAGAGGTCGTCCCCTCTGGTTCTCTCCCCAGTTGGCCGCAAGAGCCAGAGCTGTGTCAATCCAAAGGCAGGAGCCAGGAGCCCCTTCTGGGTCTCCCACGCGGGTGTAGGGGCCCTAGGACTTGGGCCATCTTCCAGTGCTTTCGCAGGCACAGCAGAGAGTTGCATTGAAAGTGGAGCAGCCGGGGCCGCGGCTCACTAGGCTAATCCTCTACCTTGCAGCGCCGGCACACCGGGTTCTAGTCCCGGTCGGGGCGCCGGATTCTGTCCCGGTTGCCCCTCTTCCAGGCCAGCTCTCTGCTGTGGCCAGGGAGTGCAGTGGAGGATAGCCCAAGTGCTTGGGCCCTGCACCCCATGGGAGACCAGGAGAAGTACCTGGCTCCTGCCATCGGATCAGCGCAGTGCGCTGGCCGCAGCGCGCCGGCTGCAGCGGCCATTGCAGGGTGAACCAGCGGCAAAAGGAAGACCTTTCTCTCTGTCTCTCTCTCTCACTGTCCACTCTGCCTGTCAAAAAAAAAAAAAAGAAAGAAAGTGGAGCAGCTGGGACTTGAACCGTTGCCCATATGGGATGCCAGCACTCTTGGCGATGGCTTTACCTACTATGCTACAGTGCTGGCCCTAATAATCCCATTTAATATTTCTTTGCTTAACATTTTGCTGCCTCTGTGGTACTATGTGATTCCTTATTCTTTTTATTTTACTTGTATCACCTTTTTCTTTTGAAATCACATTAGATTTTTTCTTCATATTTAAATAAGTATTTATAATTTTGTTTTCTTAATATCTGTCTCATTTACCTGTAAAATCCATGAAGACAGAAAGCATGTCTTTTTTTTTTTTTTTAAGATTTATTTTATTTATTTGAAAGAGTTACAGAGAGAGGTAGAGACAGAGAGAGAGGTCTTCCATCCGCTGATTCACTCCCCAGATGGCCACAACGGCCAGATCTGTGCCGATCCAAAGCCAGGAGTCAGCAGTTTCCTCCAAGTCTCCCACATGGGTGCAGGGACCCAAGGACTTGGGCCATCTTCTACTGCCTTCCCAGGCCACAGCAGAGAGCTGGATCAAAAGTGGAGCAGCCGAAATTAGAACCAGCGCCCATATGGGATGCCAGCACCTCAGGCCAGGGCTTTAACCCACTGCGCCACAGTGCCAGCCCCAGCATGTCTGTTTTACTCACTGCTGTATCTCTACATCATAGCAGGTCTTAGCTCATAGTAAAGATCAATAAATATTTATTAAATGAATGATTACATGAATGAATCATTCTTGTCCTCTAACTCCTTTCTCTCCAGCTCCATTTCTGCTTCCTGCTTTCTGCTAACGCACACCTTGGAGGCAGAAGTATGACTCAAGTACTTGGGTTCTTACCACTCACTTGGGAGACCTAGATTTGTTTCTGGGCTCCTGGGTTTGGCCTAGCTCAGCCATGGCTGTTTTGGGCATTTGGTGAATGAACTATTGAATGGAAGATCTCTGTCTGTCTCTGTCTCTGCATTCCATGTAGATAAAAATAAAATAAAAAAATTTTTGTTAGGAATTATATAAATGAGGAAACTAAAGGCACAGGATGACTCAGTAACTTTCCAGAAGTCAAGCACAAAGTGAGTGGCAAAGCTGGATGCAAATTCAGATATCTGATTCTAAATGCGTGCCACTGTGCAACACTGCCAACCCTTAGACACTTAGAAATCATATAGTCATATGCCTTTATTTTTGTAGTCTAGTTTAACTATTTCAATTTTACTTTGCTTCATGTTCCTCATTCTGATTATCTTTTTTTTTTTTTTTTAAGATTTATTTATTTTAAAGGCAAAGTTAAAGAGAGAAATAGAGATATGTTCCATCTGCTAACTCATTCCCCAGATTGGGCCAGCAGAAGCCAGGAGCCAGGAGCTTCATCCACATCTCCCACATAGGCACAGGGACCCAAGCACTGGGGCCACCTTCTGCTACTTTCCCAGGTGCATTAGCAGGGAGCTGGATGGGAAGTGGAGTAGCCGGAACATGAACCGATGCCCTTATGGGATGTGGGCACTGCAGGCAGTGGCTTAACTTGCCCTGTGCCCCAGTTTCAGCACTTAATATCTTTTCTAATATTTCTTCCTAACATATTAACATAAAAAGGTTTGTTTTTGAGAAGTATTACAGAAGTATCTCTCCTATCATGTTTTTCTCCTGCTTAGAAGCTTAAAATTGTTCTCTCCTGCCTGACAGATCAAGGTCAAATTCTAATTTGGCATTTAATCAAGACTATCTACAATGATTGTTTCTTACGAGCTGTAGTAGAAGGCAAGATAATGAGTTAATTTCTGGGACCAGCACTGTGGCATAGTGGGTAAAGCCACCGCCTGCAGTGCTGGCATCCCATATGGGACACCGGTTCAAGTCCCGGCTTCTTCACTTCTTTTTTTATTATTATTATTTTATTTATTTATTTTAAATTTTTTAAAGGATTTGTTTATTTGATAGACAGAGGTAGAGAGAGAGAGGTAGAGAGAGAGAGAGAGAGAGGTCTTCCATCTGCTGGTTCACTCCCCAAATGGCTGCAATGACTGGAGTTGAGCTGATCAGGAGCCAGGAGCTTCTTCTGGGTCTCCCACGCAGATGCAGGGACCCAAGGAATTGGGCCATCTTCTACTGCTTTTCCAGGCCACAGCAGAGAGCTGGATTGGAAGTGGAGCAACTGGGACTCAAACTGGCGCCCATATGGGACACCGACACTGCAGGCCAGGGCTTTAACCTGCTATGCCATAGCACCGGCCCCAGTGGCTGCTCCACTTCTGATCCAACTCTCTGCTATGGCCTGGGAAAGCTGTAGAAGATGGCCCAAGTCTTTGGGCTCCTGCACCTTCATGGGAAACCAGGAAGAAGCACCTGGCTCCTGGCTTCGGATCGGCTCAGCGCTGCAGCTCCAGCCGTAGCGGCCATTTGGGGAGTGAACCAACGGAAGGAAAACCTTTGTCTCTGTCTCTCTCTCTCACTGTCTATAACTCTACCTGTCAAATAAGTTAAAAAATTATTAACTATTTAGGAATTATTAGGAGTGCTTTAATGCTTAGTACTAGTGTGGTAGGTGCTGCATTCTTGGCCACAATAATAGATTTTATAAATTAAAAAACAAGAGTTTTCGGGGCCAGCGCTGTGGCGTAGTAGTGGGTTAACGCCCTGGCCTGAAGCGCTGGCATCCCATATGGGCACTGGTTCCAGTCCCAGCTGCTCGTCTTCCAATCCAGCTCTCTGCTACGGCCTAGGATAGCAGTAGAAGATGGCCCTAGTCCTTGGGCCCCTGCACCCACATGGGAGACCCAGAAAAAGCTCCTGGCTCCTGGCTCCTGACTTCGGATCAGCACAGTTTCAGCCATTGCGGCCATCTAGGGAGTGAACCATCGGAAGGAAGACTCTCTCTCTCTGCCTCTCCTTTTCTCTGTGTAACTCTGACTTTCAAGGAAAATAAATTTAAAAATATTAAAAAAAAAGAGTTTTCAAAAGGTGCATCAGTATATCCTATACATAGATGAATAGTGACTGATAAATAAATCATTGGAAATTAGTGAAAAAAGAAGCCCCCAAAGAAAGGTATGAGGCCAAATGGTTTTAATGGGAGTCTAGCATTGTGAAAGCCTATGTAGGATTTGGAGTCAGAAGACATAGGTGCAAATCTTACTTCCGCTACTTACAAACTTTCTGATCTTACACATGTCACACAACCTTTCTTTTTAATATCCTTATCTCTAAATGAATGTGATGTTTATCTCACATAAAAAGAAAGATCACTTGAGATACTCTGTATAAGAACACATGCATAACACTGACCACACAGATATTCAGTGTTATTATTTGACATCGTAATAGAAATTAACAAATACAGGGTAATAATTTGTTTTGGGTTATGTTGAATATGAAATGGTAGTGGAGTTTCCACATGGAGAGTTTCTACAGGGGTTGAAAATACAAACCTGAGATTTGGCTGATAGCTAAAATTGTTAATCAGTAGAGGGATATTTAAAGCCATTAAAAAGATAGAATGATTTCATTGAGAAAATACAGTAAGAGAGCAATACTCTGATTATGAATGTATTTGTGTAGGTTTACATGTAGTTTTTAAAAATTTATAAATTCTCATTGATAAAGGAAAGTATTGTTTATCAGTTTGTTACTCATCCTCATTTAAATTATGAGATATTTAAGGGAAAAGGCGACCTCACCTTTTCTTTTTTTTAAAGATTTATTTATTTATTTGAAAGTCAGAGTTATACAAAGAGAGGAGAGGGAGAGAGAGGTCTTCCATCTGCTGGTTCACTCCCCAATTGGCCACAACCGCTGGAGCTGCACCGATCAGGAGCCAGGAGTTTCTTCCAGGTCTCCCATGAGGGTGCAGGGGCCCAAGGACTTGGCCATCTTCTACTGCTTTCCCAGGCCATAGCAGAGAGCTGGATCAAAGGTGGAGCAGCCAGGTCTTGAAACGGCTCCCACATGGGATGCCAGCACTTCAGGCCAGCATGTTAACCCACTGCACTACAGGGCGGGCCCCAAGGGCAACCTCTTCTAACAGTAACTCTAGAAAAATGTTCTTTTCAGGAGATACATTCATGACTATGATTATTTTAGTAAATAGAATTTATCTTTTCCAGTGGTCCTGGTTCTAACCAACTTTCCTTTTCTTGGTGGGGGCGGGGTCATACAGCAAAAAGCATCACAAAGTCCACAGAAACAACAGCCTGCCTTAGATGGTGAGGTAAGTCTACATCGGCATCTGTTCTTTGGAATTTATTGTTTTTGCAATGGAATGACATGTTTTGGGTGTGATTATCATGTTTTCAGTGATCAAAATATTGCCATTTTCTTTTTTTCAATCACAAAATTCTACTTTGAGGGAGAAGATACAGACCAGGGAGTTTTTTTAGAATCTGTATATCAGATTTCCTTTCATCCATACATAACCATCAAGAGATTGTGATGTGCCTCCCTGCCTCAGCCCTCTGGGACATCATCACATCCCATCCATTTTGGAAGCTTGCTGTGTAATGAGACAGAGCCCTGAGAACTGATCTGACGCTTGTAAATTGTGGCAATCTTAAAAAAGATCCTCCATGGTCTTTTCTGCTTTAGTGGTCATTTCAGTGTTATCAGTTTTACTTTGTATACATTAGTTGTATAATATCAAGTAATATTTTATTATAAGTTAACGTAAAATTCATTGCTTCACCTTTTTAAAATGTATACACCTGTTTGATTTATTAAAATGAAGATAACTAGATGAATATTTTTATTATAGTTAAATTCTACATGAGCCATTTTCCCTTTATTTTTACATTCTAATTGTTTCAATTCATGATCATTATTTCCCTTAAAATTCATAAAGATATATTTTGTGTGAATGTGGACTTTGCTTTCCGTAAAATGTTGGTTGAAAACTTAACAGTCAGGTCTTTACTGTGTTGGTGGTGAATGTAGTAATTCTATATAAAACTTTGGATAAAGCTTACTAAGTTTCATACATTTTTCCTTTGTTGACCCAACATTTCCTTCTCGATGGTCATTCTCGAGTGATTCATTCTATAATATCTAAAGCTTCACAGGAAAATTACATGAACAGTTTCAAAATTTTTAATTATACTATTAGTTTGTCTAAGGAATTCAATGAAGGGATGCCTAGACTAGAATCATGACTGCGTTTATTATTTAATTTTCACTAGCTTACTAAGTGACCCCAAATTCTTTCTGTTATTGCTATATCTATACTTCAGCTTTCTCATATGTGAACAGAGTTATCCCTGTTTCTTCCTTGCTTTAGAAAATTTTTTAGGCGGTAGTTCATATTTGAAGTTTTTTAAACTGTTTGAAAGAAAATCAGTCCTGATTTTTAGTACTGAAATTTACCAGCTTCTATGGTGCATGAATTCCAGATGACTATGAACGTGTTGCTAACTCCCAGTGTCTTCAAAAGTATGTCTTAATATGTCTCTTTCCTTGTGTGTATATTTGTGAGATATGTCACGTGTGTGCATAGTTTGTTTTTGACATTGCTTCATTTTTCTCCATCTCTCCAGTGTCCCTTCCCATCCCGAAGGTCTCAGCACACTGATGATAGTGCCTTGTTAGTGGTAAGAGTCTTGCACAAAATCGAGTTTTACAATATTGTCTCTAGAAATTGAAGAACAGCTATTGTACTTTTCACTGAGAAATTATCTGAATACCATAAAACATGATGAGCAGTATGTAAATGCTTTACAAGTAACTAAAACTATTTCCCTGTACTACCATTTGTGATTTACCTGATGTCCCCAAATTCTGCAACTGTAATTCAAAAGAGTAAAGCATCACATTGAGAACCTTATTGGCTTTGTACATCACTTAGGGAAAGAGGACATAGCATAATATTTATGTCTTTAATATATTTTCTAATTCCAGATGCACTTGCTTCATTAATCATTCCTTCAGCTCATGAGTCACCTATGTGTCAAATGGAGTCTCTTTCCATAACACTAATTACACAACAGTGTGTCTGACTTTGTCTTATTATGTATTTAAGCTAATGAAAATACTGTGCTTTTGGTTTTAAATACATTTCAAGATTGTTCTTGTTTTTTTATGTCAAACAATTGGAATGCTGTGTACTTTTAATACTGACTTTTTTCCTGTTCATCAGCTGAAAATGAGTGTAACAAGAGTTTTAGTCTTACCAGCTTTGGAAGAGAATTCTAACCATTTATAGAATGCTCTCCCATCATGTTTTATGTTAATTTGTTCACAGTAGTATTGAAAATTAGAAGTTCGAAGTCTAGTGTCTGGCCATTCCTGTCCCATGTGCGGGTAACTGCTGACACTGTGCATACCACTGCATGAATCACACGCTTCAGCAGGAGATTCCTATTAGTTTAACAGTCATTGTCAGAACGTCTGTATATTCTGTCATTTTCATTTCCTTTGAGATGGATATATGCACATTTTAACTGGGCAGTCCTGTAGATGAATACAACCACCAGCCTCTGGAGTTTTAGTGGACATTAATTGGCATGAGAACAATTAATAAATTAGTGTAGAAAAACACTGAGAGCCCTGATGATCCTGACACTCTACCAAAATTTTGTCTATGCTCATGGCAACAATCAAGAGTTAAGATTAGGGGCTGGCATTGTGGCATAGCAGGTAAAGTCGCCAACTGAGATGACAGCATCCCCTATGGGTGCCATTTTGTGTCCCACCTGCTCTACTTCTGATCCAGCTCCCTATTAATGGCTGGGAAAAGCAGCAGAAGATGGCCTAGGTGTTTGGGCCGCTGCACCCATGTGGAGACCTGAATGAAGCTCCTAGCTTTGCCCTGGCCCAGCACTGGCAATTGCAGCCATCTGAGGAGTGAACCAGTAGATGGAAGATTCTCTCTCTCTTTCAAAATAAATAAATCAATCTTAAAAAAAAAAAAAGTTCAACTTAAACTTATTGCCTTTTTACAAATGATTACTGAGACACAGAATGTGACTTGTCCGAGGTCACATAGCTAGTAAATGTAAGGCTGGGTTCAAATCTAGATCTGGTGACCTGAGAATCTGAATTGAACACCACACCTTCCATCCTGGCACTGAAAATAATTTAGAAAGCTAAAGATGAGATTTAATAGTTTATGGAAATAATGATATGGCTGAGTACGCAAACCATTTTGTCAAAGAAAAAATGGAATTTGAAAAACTACAGCAAAAATCCCCAGATTATGAAATGCAGTTATTTGTCAGAACATATACACTTGTATTTTAATTGTCAGTATTTGCATCTGATTTTTTTAAAAAGATTTATTTATTTTGTTTGAAAGGTAAATTTACAGAGAGGCAGAGGCAGAGAGAGAGAGAGAGAGGTCTTCCATCCCATGGTTCACTCCCTAAATGGCCACAACAGCTGGAGCTGTGCCAGTCTAAAGCCAGGAGCCAGGAACTTCTTCCAGGTCTTCCACATGGGTACAGGGGCCCAAGGACTCAGGCCATCTTCCACTACTTTCCTAGGCCATTAAAGAGAGCTGGATGGGAAATGGAGCAGCTGGAAACTGAACCAGCGCCCACATGGGATGCCAGTACCGCAGGCAGTGGCTTTACCTGCTACGCCACAGCGCCAGCCCCCTGATCTTCTAAATTCAAATGACCTTTAAAATCAAGGAATTTATTCTAAATTAGGTGATCTTTGAAAGTAAATGTCCTGGGGCCAGCACTGTGTCATAGAATTCTGGCTAAGCTTCCACCTACAACACTGGTTCTTGTTCGTGCCAGTTCTGCTCACTTAAAGGAAGCCCTGTGACTTATCAGATTTCTTTCTCCAGTCTTAGGATTAGCACAGGACTCATTTTCTCAGTTGTAGTTTTTCTTCTAAATGATTTCTAATTTTCATATCTCATATCTTTTGTTTTTCCTAAATATTTAATTTTCCTGCTTGGATATTTTTACTTCTTTAATTTATTATAATATTTCATATTTTTGCCTGTTATCCTTCTAAATACTGATGCCATCGTGCTGTCCCACCCCTGACCTCATAGCACCTAAAACCTGATGAACCTTATCTCTGGTCATCATGGAAGATGCTCTGCGTACCTGGGTGACTCATGAAAAAAGTTTATCTATTATTTTCTTCCAGGTTAACCAGCCTTTCAACTGTGTTCCTTATACAGTCTTCAAAAAGTTCGTGGAAAACACATATGGTGGGGAAAAAATGTATGCATGGATTTCAAATTTTTTTCCTCCAAAAAATAAATTGATCTTTTTTTAAAGAATGTATTTATTTGAAAGAGTTACAGAGAGAAAGAGATCTTCCATCCCCTGGTTCACTCCCCAAATGGCTGCAATGGCCAGGGCTAGACCAGGCCAAAGCCAGAAGCCAGGAGCTACTTCTGGGTCTCCCACATTGTTGGCAGGAGACCAAGTACTTGGGCCATCACCTTCTGCTGCTTTTCCAGGCCATTAGCAGGGAGCTGGATTGGAGTAGAGCAGCCAGGACTCGAGCCAGCACACATATGGGTTGCTATCATCACTGGCAGTGTCTTAACCTGCTAGGCTACAACGCCAGCCCTAATTTATCTTTTAATTCCATTTTCCATGAACTTTTTGAAGTACCGTGGTATTTGTATTAACAAGAAAATTATTTCAGTGATTTTTTTCAAAATTCTTTCAAGGAAGGTTCGTACCTAGTACCATGGTAGAAGTATAGGCAAGAAGATAAGTGGTTATACTCAATGAGTACCTTAGAGCCTTACTCTCTCTGAGTCATAGTTAAGAAAGGCCAAATATGAATGTGCCAGAAGTTAGTGAAACAGATGGTGTTTTCTTATTTCACAGTCACTATCATAAGATTTAAGATAGATGAGAAGTCCAGCTTTTCTTCTATCAGACCTGCAAAGATTTAATCTATATGTTTTGGCATCCCAGTTAATTTTTTTTTGAGAATAAACAAACTTTATTTTATAAGAGTATTACAGAAAGCAAAATATCATTTAATACAACTTGAAGCTGCTATAAATCTAATCTGGCTTTGTAACTATACATAGAGTCAAAAGCAAAGGAGAAAATGTTCAATGCAGTTAATAAGTCCCTATCAGGTTCCCTGGTGTCAGCTTTAAATGGCATAGCTTTCTTGTCACCAACAAAAAACCACCACAGCTCCCACTACCCTCTCCCAGTGTCCTCATCCTCAAACTTGTGTGAATCATCAAACTGTCTGAAAGAGATACACTGCTCAGTAACAAAGGTCAGTTTTACATGTACACAAACAGGTTTAATACAAAGCAAATGTCCTACCCAATGGGAAGTGTTGAAATTTAGATACGTTAAGAAAGAAAGCACTAAGGTTTTAAGCTGCCTGAATTTTTTTGAAAAAAAGATTTATTTTATTTGAAAGAGCTATATAGAAAGAAAATGTTCCATTTGCTGGTTCACTACCCAAATGGACACAATGGCTGGAGCTGGGCCAATCCAAAGCCAGGAGCCTGGAGCATCTTCTGGGTCTACCATGTGGGTGCAGGGGCCCAACCACTTTCTCAGGCACTTTAGCAAGGAGCTGGATTGGAAGTGGAGCAGCCAGGACTCAAACCGGTGCCCAAATGGGATGCCGGTGTCACAGGTGGAGGCTGAACCTGCTGTGCTACTACACCAGTCATTCCCGTCCCCTCCCAGTTACTTTTTACTACAGTAATACAGTCTATTTAAGAATGATCTCATTTCTTTTGTTGCTTAGTCAGGCTTAAAAAATGAGTTTGTGTCCATCCTGAAATTATTCCTTAGCCTTTTTTTTTTTTTTTGGCTCTGGTTCTTCAAGAGTTCCCAGATGAAATTAATGGTCCCAAGAGTGACTTGACCTAATCACTTCAGTATTCTCAAGTACAAGTCACTTAGATTGATAGTTCAATGAAAGTACAAAGTAGAAGTCATCATTTTATTCTGGCTTCATTTCCATCACAGCCAGTTATATTGTTTATTGTCAATTGCTGTTTCTGGAAGCAGGGGACATTCATTGCCTTACAGCATTAGTTCATTTCAGCATTTCTCATCTAATAAAGTTACCTGTTAACTTTCCCCTTTTATTCCTTAATGGGCTCAAATTTCTTGTCTATGTCTTATAAATAACTTCTGTAATAACTTTTAATATACTTTTTCCCCTATATTAATTAATCTCTGCCTTTACTGTTTTTCTACCTGTTCATTGGACCTTGAGCATGTCTTAATTTAGCCAACTTTCTCCTTCCTACCTGTTACTCATATCCCTGAAAATAAGGAAAGGTATCTATTTCCCTATGAATAAAGTTTTAAAAAAATTTTTTTAAAAATAGACTAGGTGCCTCATTCCTTTTTTTTTTTTCTTTTTCCTTAAAGACTTATTTATTTATTTGAAAGGCAGGGTTATAGAGAGGCAGAGGCAGAGAGAGAGGTCTTCCATCTGCTGGTTCACTCCCAGATGGCTGCAACTGCAGGAAATGTGCCAATGCAAAGCCAGGAGCCAGGAGCTTCATCTGGGTCTCCCACGTGGGTGCAGGGGCCCAAGGACTTGGTCCATCTTCTACTGCTTTCCCAGGCCAGAGCAGAGAGCTGGATCAGAAGTGGAGCAGCTGGGACTCAAACTGGCACCCACATGGGATGACAGCAATGCAAGTGGCGGCCTTACCCACTATGCCACAGCACCAGCCCCGTGAAGTTTTTGCCTCATTTACCTGTTCATTCTTTTCACTAGTTGCTGTTACGCTTTGTTTAAATTCAATTTATTTAAATTTTCCATTTTTTCCTCAATACCTGAAACTTAGTTTATTTGCATGTATAAGCTTGGTGAATGTCTTTTTCATTGATGATGTGATAGAGAATTTCAAGAAGTTCACAGAAAATGTGTATTGTGAAAAATTATGTGTGGATTTCAATTTTTCCTCAAACATCTTTTTTATGAGATTTATTATTTTTTTGAAAGACAAAGTTACAGAGAGAGGAAGAGAGAGCGAGCGACATCTTTCATCTGCTGGTTCACTCCCCAGATGAGAGAGAGATCTTTGATCTGCTGTTTTACTCCCCAGATGGGAACAATGGCCAGGTCGAGGCCAGGCAGAACTCAGGAGCCAGGAGCTTCTTCCAGGTCTCCTACATGGTTGGCAGGGGCTCAGGTACTTGGGCATCTCCTACTGCTTTCCCAGATACATTAGCAGCAAGCTGCCGCTCCCCACAGATCCCCCTTCTTTTTATTCTTTGTGGCGTTGATACGCGCTTGTCTTCGGTGCCCCGTGGCGCATACTCTGCTCTGCTAGAGTTGCCCGCAGGTGCTTATCGCCCTAGGCAGTCCGAATCCGAGTCCTCTCATCACCGTGTTGTGGGGAGGCTTTCCTATTTCTCTCTATTTTATTTCTCTCCACTCCGCTTTCCTCTCCCACCGCGGCTTTTTTCCCCACGGCTTTCTTTCTCTCCCGCGGCTTTTCCGAATCACGGCCTAGCTTTCGTCTCCGCTACAGTTTAGCTTTCGTCTCCGCTACGGCCTAGCTTTCCTGCGGCTTTTATTTTTCTCCCTTCTCCTTCCCGGCTTTCTCCCAGCAGTCCATTTCTGAGTCACAGCACCACTTGTCGCTCCCCAACTTGCGGAGGAGCGGCACCGGACTGGACGCTACCTTCTTTCCCCAGTCCTTCCCGGGTTTGCTGCCGCTCCCCACAATCCACCCCGAGATGCTGCAGTTACCTGGACTGAACTAGGCCTGGCTGAAGCAGAGAGCAGGGAACAGAATCCAGTTCTCCCATGTGGATGACAGGACCCCAACTACTTAGGCCAGCTCTGCTTCTCAGGATCTACATCAGCAGGGAGCTGGAGTTAGGAGCTGAAAGTGGGCATTGAACCTGACCTAACTGCCAAGCTACATGTCCATTCCTCTTTTTTGTAATTTAAGTTCTCTGTCATTAATTTCATCTGGCACAATTCAAACTAGAGATAAGACTTCTGAAAATATTGAACCCAAAGGAGGTGGGACATGGGAACAGATGAGTACATGTGTTTGTTTTAAAGGCATTCTTAGTTCAGAAATGTCTTAGTTATCATATGATAAAAGTTATATTTAATTAAATGGTAAGGCCTGAAAATTTGATTACTCTGGCTTTTATTGATTCAGCTTCCCTGCCCAGTCTTTAGCATCTTTAAACCAACCAACCAAGATTACTTCTTAAATTAGCTTGACTACATTTCCCTTTTTGAAGGTGAATTTATGCCAGTTTATCTAGCTCTCTTTTTGATGGTTCTCTTGGTCAATGAATTGCAAACATCTTAGATTGAAATACTGTTTTAGAAAATACATTTGCGCCGGTGCCACGGCTCACTAGGCTAATCCTCCTCCTTGCGGCACTGGCACACCGGGTTCTAGTCCCGGTCGGGGCGCCAGATTCTGTCCCGGTTGCCCCTCTTCCAGGCCAGCCCTCTGCTGTGGCCAGGGAGTGCAGTGGAGGATGGCCCAAGTGGTTGGGCCCTGCACTCGCGTGGGAGACCAGGAGAAGCACCTGGCTCCTGCCGTTGGATCAGCGCAGTGCGCCGGCTGAGGCGGCCATTGGAGGGTGAACCAACGGCAAAGGAAGACCTTTCTCTCTGTCTCTCTCTCTCGCTGTCCACTCTGCCTGTCAAAAAAAAAGTACATCTGTAAAGACACTTTTTCCTCACTGAAATGAAGAAAACTCCATCAGCTTTCTTAAAATATTAAATTTTATTCTCAAGAGAAAAAATAACTTTAGAAATGATTCCAGAAAAATATTACTAGGAAATAAACCTTTGTTCTGTCTTTCCCATATATTTCCTGATGAAATTTTCTTCATTAGGATGATTATTATAGAAAAGGCCTGTTAGACTACATAATTTAAATGTTTTAAATTATGAGGTTTTCATCAAAATAACATTTCACAAATGCACTTTTAAGATACAACAAAGGTTAGTGTTTTAGGCAGTTTAAATGGTTTTCTGTTGCCCAAAATGCAAATAATGTAATCCTGAAAAGGGGACACAAATTTGAAGGCATTTTGTAGAAAGCAAAAAAAAAAAAAAAAAAACTTAGTAAGTTTGGCAAGTTCATAATCTTTAATATTTTTTCAAGAAAACAGATGATGTTTGTATGTGTGATAAGATCTTTTATATAGAATCTACTGCCCCAGTCTAGTCCAAACAAGAAAATTGTTTTCTATTAGTTGCTCAAATTATCACTCTGAGGACTTACTTTACTCCACTAAAGTAAGTTCAGACAGATTTAACACTCCAAAAGTCTTTACTGAGTATTGTTTTCAGAAAATTGTCATTGCTTCTAATTTAGATTAGAATAATATTCTAAAGAATATGCTTTCACTAATGCCCTTACTGCATCTTAAGAAAAGTCAGTCGACACCTTCATAAGTAGATCACTGAGGCAGTGTTCAAGAAACAGTCTTCAGTCAGTCAGTGAATGTAAGGAGGTCTACAGTGTGACGGTGCCATGGATGATTAATGGAGCAGTGCATAGCCTGCGTTCATTCAGAGTGGCTGTGATCATTTCTGACATGATGTTGTGGACAAATATGCAATAAAAAATAAAAAATAAAAAAAAGAAAAGGCCTGTTAGATAACAGGACCATCTTCAGATAATGCCTTACATAAAACACAAAGGGAAAATTTGCATTTTAAAAAACATTCAAAATTAATAATAATGACAAATTCTCATCTTTAGATTAATTTTGAGGGAGAGTTGCATGGATTTTTTTCTTCTATAAACCCAGAGTTACCAATATGTGGAAGGTACAAAGGCATTTTAAAGTTTGTGGAAAATAGAATTGAGAGGTTTTGGGGTTTGCTTTTTTTGGGGGGTGCATCATTTTGAAATCTATGTGTATAAGGGGTCCTTAAAAAGCTCATGAAAAATATGTATTCTGAAAAACTGTGTAGATTTCAAAATGCTTTTGCACAAGAATTAAAAATAAACTTTTTATTTCCACTTTTTTAAAGTACCCTCATAACTCTTCTTGAATAATTATTGATCTATTTCTGTTTTTCCACAGAGTGATGACAGATGTAATGCTATGTCAAGTTCACCTACAACAGAAACAGGTAACACTCAAAAAGGTGCAATTAACTATGTCAAGATTATAATTCTTTCCTAGAATTTTCCTGATAAGTTTCTCTTTAGACAGTGATGGCTTCTTTTTCTCAGAGATGGAAATAGGAAACAAAATTAGAAACTTTCTGTACATTTTTCCATTTTTTTAATTCAGCCAGTTGTTCAGCCACATAGTTCTTTGATATGAACAAATGAGCACAAGCTGGGAGGGCTATAGATTTGCAAGAGACTGTGTTTAGGGAAAGAAAAAAGACTGTGCTTGGGATATTAACAGTTGTTCTGTGTTGATTGATATACCAGAAATAACATGGAAATTAAAAACACATATAATCATCCTCCCTGCTTCCAGGCTTTTCATGAATAAACAGAATTATCATTCTATATCATTGCCATATTTAATTTGGTTTTCTTCTTTATGTGCTACTTATTGAACTTTTGTAATATGTATGTCTACATTATTTTTAATTTTCTTTTGTTCTCCTTTAATCCCATTTTTGCTTTTCATCACTGATTTAGTTCATCACTCCCCTGCATATCCTTTTCCTGCTGCTGTCCAGAGAAATCAGCCCCAGCGCCCTGAAAGCTTCCTTTTCCGACCAGCTGTCAGGGCAGAAGCAAATAAAGGCAGGTGATAGTGATTTTAAGAGGCAGAGGGTTGGTGGGTAGGGAATAACGGTGGTTGGCATTTTACACACTCTGCATGTGTCTGTGAGTGCACTTTTAATAGGAAAACCTTGTGTAATTTGTTTCAATTAGAGGTTTCTTTGTAGCACCTAAAAGCAGGTTGTAGAGAGAACAAATAACATGCTATATCGAGGCTTTAGAGGATGCTCCTCTTTGTATTGAGCTCGTTCTGTTTTTTCTGTACTGATGAAATCTGGCTTGTGTTCTTCAAAATGAATCCATGTTTTTTTTTTTAATCTACTTAAAATCTCATGTTCTTTTAGTTAATATAATAGATTTCTGCCTGACTGCCAAAGGAGAAGGTATCCGGAGATGGGAACAAACAATGTCAAGTCAAAAATAATGACTTTAACTTACAGATGTACTTACAGTAAAATTTAAAAATCAAACCACACTGCACTGCTGGTGGGAGTGTAAATTAGTATGGAAAACTGTTTTCATTATCTACTAGTAATGTCCATTTATATACCCTATTATAATCAAGCAGCTTTACTTTCAGAAATATATGCACACATATACTAAAAGATAAGTACAAAAATAAGCATAGCAGCACTATTCATAATGGCCGCAAATGGAATGTCCAACAACAGAATAGATAAATGAATGTGATTTATTTGTACAATGGAATTCAGTCTAGGCAATGAAAATGGAAAAATTACCAAATACAACATGGATAAGTCTTGTAAACATAATATTGATCAAAAGAAGCCAGACAACAGAAGAAAAATGCAATGTGCTTTAATTTATAGAAAGTTGAAAAATGGACAGAGCTAGTCTATGATGTTAGGAATCTAGGATACTGGTGGTATCTTTTGGGTACTGGTGGGCAGGGCACTTGAGATAGGCTTTTGGGTATTGGTAGTGTTACATACATAGACCTGGTTTTGTTCAGTTTGTAAGGGTAATTTATTGATCTCTGTGTTTATGATTTATATATTTTTCTCTATGTGTGTTATCTTTAAATAAATGAATGTAACCAAATAAAAGTAGTTGAGTCAAATGGGTAGTGGATATTTTGTAGTTTTTATAGAATTTCCCTATTATTTGTATTTATATAAATATATTATATGTAAACATATATGAGTATTATATATAAATATATATTTATATTATTGTTTATATTTGAAATTTTATAGAATTCCCCTATTATTGTTTATGTTTGAAATTTCCATAATAAAAATCTTTTTAAAAAGTCAATTCAGAAAGTAGAATGTGTTATATTTACAAGGATGTTATGATCAAACAAATCCAAATACTTTAATAGCACTGGCAGTCGCCTTTCCGTCTTATGTATTAATGTTTTTCTAGGTCATTCTTCATCCCTTCTTCCATCTTCTGTGCCTGCCATTGATTCTACAGATCCCATTACAAGACAGAGAGAAGAAGAACTGAAACTGATAGATCAACTACGGAAAGTGTGTACATTACCATTGCATTTTTTCTACTAAGGAAATTCTTTTCAATTTTTTTCTAAGATAATATGGTATGGGTTATTCTCTAAAGCTTCATTCCCAGCACTATTCATTAAAAAATTTGTTCCTTTGCTTTCTTCCTCACAATATAAAGAAATCTTATGAGAGTAACAATAAATTATCTGCATGTACATATATACATATCACACTGACATACAAGCATACATTGACTCTCCTTGAGTTATAAGGGTAAAATAGAGATTGTTGTACTTGAGTTATTACCTTTTTATCCTTGATTTATGGTTAACTATATTTCATTATAATTCCATTATGTACTACGTGTTAATCCCTCTTCAATTAATACACCTTTTCCTGTTCCTTAGCATATTGAATACCGGTTGAAAGTATCTCTGCCTTGTGATCTGGGAGCAGCTCTAACTGATGGTGTTGTCCTTTGCCATTTGGCCAATCACGTGCGGCCTCGATCTGTCCCAAGCATTCACGTTCCCTCACCAGCTGTAGTAAGTTTATAATGCTTAAAAATATTGGCTGTTTATCAAACATTTATTAAGCACAGTGGCAGGCATTATGCTGGTGTTAGGGATACAATCCTTTTAGACTTGTAAATAATATCTTACAGTCTATGATAAATGCCATAAGAGAAATGTGTTATGGGGATACAATAGAGACTATTCCACTCTGCCTTGGAAAGCTCAGGAAGGCCTTCCTAGAGGGGATAAAACTTGAACTGGAAGTACATGTAGCAATGAAAACCTAGCATATTCAAAGAATTAAGTTCTTTAGAATGGATCACGCACTGGGTGTAGATTAAAACAGCAGGGGACAAAATTAGGTAAACCAGGGCCCCTGTGACAAAGGCCCTATGAACTGTGTCAAGGAGTTAGTAAAGACAGGAGATACTGGAGGAATTGAGGGAAAACAATGCTATGATTATAATTGTGGTTTAGAAAGATGACTCTGGCTGCTAAGTGACAAGTGGTTCAGAGGTGGTAAGGCCAGAAGAAAGATGCCAGTTAAGAGGCTCCTGTATTAGTCCAGGCAAGAGAAGTTAACAAGCCCAAATTAGGCCAGTGAAAAGGAAGATTTTAAAGAGTAGGCTTTGGGTTGACAAGCCTTCCCTTTTTTTTCTTCAAATCTTTATTATGAAAATTTTCAAGCTTCAGAAAAACTGAAAGAATAATACAGTGAACCACTGAGTCCCTAGACCTGACATTTATCATATTTTGCCATGTTGCTTTACCTGTCTGTGTTTGTGAGTCTGTATGTGTCTTAAATGCATCATTTAAAAGTTGCAGTTATTAGGGCGGGCCTTGGGCACAGTTGAAATGCTGCTTGGAATGCCCACATTCCATGTCAGAGTACCTAGGTTTTCAGTCCCAGCTCCACTTCTGGCCCAGCTTCCTGTTGATGCACACCCTGGGAGGCAGCAGGTGAAGGCTCAAGTTTTTAGGTCCCTACCACCCTATGGAAGACCTGGATTAAGTTTCTGGCTCCTGACTTCAGCCTGGCCCTGCCTCTGCTGTTGCAGGCATTTGGAGGACCTATTATTTGTCTCTCTCTCTCTCTGCTTTCAAATAAATTTTAAAAAATTGAAAGTTGCAAATATCTTAACACTTTACCCCCTGTATATTTCAGTGTTGTGGCTACCTTGCTCTTCCCCATAGTCTGTCACTAATACTGACTGATAGGGGACTGATTCTGATTCACGGTGTAATGTGACACAGTTCTTGCTCCCTGCAAGGTTAGGCTGAGGCTGAGTGGGGACAGCTGCGTGCCATGAGCAGAGAATGAGGTTGTGTTAAGGAAAGATGCTCAGGCTTCATAAAGTGATACTGCACCACCAGCATATATATCCACCTGTTACATTCTGATTCCCCAGTTGCTCTAAGGATATCTTTTTTTTTTTTTTTGGACAGGCAGAGTGGACAGTGAGAGAGAGAAAGAGACAGAGAGAAAGGTCTTCCTTCCGTTGGTTCACCCCCAAAGTGGCCGCTACGGCCAGCACGCAACACTGATCTGAAGCCAGGAGCCAGGTGCTTCCTCCTGGTCTCCCATGCAGGTGCAGGGCCCCAGCACTTGGGCCATCTTCCACTGCCCTCCCGGGCCACAGCATAGAGTTGGACTGGAAGAGGAACAACTGGGACAGAATCCGGCGCCCCCACCGGGACTAGAACCTGGGGTGTCAGCGCCACAAGCAGAGGATTAGCCTAGTGAGCTGCGGCGCCTGCCTCTAGTACACACAGATACAACCAGGATATAATCAAAGTTCTCACATTGTACTTACTGCTCTGTGATGGTTTTGGTTCCCTCGTCTGATGACTTTGATTGGATACTGTCCAGTGTTTATCTTTTCCAAAGATTGCCCTCATCTTATTTTCTAGTCACTCATTAAGTAGCAAGCAGTTTATGATACAAAGTCTTTACTTCATTGGCAGTTGTATCAAGGCCTTTAGATGCCAATTCTGAACACTTGTCTTGCTACCTCTCCAGATGTCAAATCCTTCATCCCTCCAAAGTACCTGAGATTGTTCTAATTATTAGAACTTCTTGTTACTAAAGTCCCAAGGGTCTGTTAATGACCCTGTCCTGTCTTAGTGCTTCTAAGGAAAAGAGCCTCTTTGTTCTTTAGTAACCTCAAAAAAATAAGCATTTAGTTTTTTGTAGAAAAGGCAGAGAGGAGCAATAGCACCACCAAAGTCAAGCATGCACTGGAAGACTTGGTTTTAGTCCTAAAGATGGTGATGAAGACAGTAGGAATTGTGCTGTTTGGCAGCGCCAGTAGGGAAGGGTTCACTCACACTTTTCATTCTTTCCAGTTTCTGTCAAGTAAGTTAAGAATCTTTCCTTTAATTAAAAATAAAAAGAGAGCCGGCGCCGTGGCTCAATAGGCTAATCCTCCACCTTGCGGCACCGGCACACCGGGTTCTAGTCCCGGTTGGGGCGCCGGATTCTGTCCCGGTTGCCCCTCTTCCAGGCCAGCTCTCTGCTATGGCCAGGGAGTGCAGTGGAGGATGGCCCAGGTGCTTGGGCCCTGCACCCCATGGGAGACCAGGAAAAGCACCTGGCTCCTGGCTCCTGCCAGGATCAGCGCGGTGCGCCGGCTGCAGCGGCGGCCATTGGAGGGTGAACCAACGGCAAAGGAAGACCTTTCTCTCTCTGTCTCTCTCTCTCACTGTCCACTCTGCCGGTCAAAAAATAAAAAAAAATAAAAATAAAAAATAAAAAAATAAAAAGAACACACCTATCATTCTTCAGTTCCAAGGGAAATACTTCAGAAGTGTGCTAAAAGCTACTGCAGAGAGCACGAGTAGCTGAGGAACTTCATTTTGATCACCAGAACACACAACTTTCCATTCAAGAATGTAAAATATGCATAGTAAAAATAAAACTACTTTATAAATATTTACCTGCTTAGAGAAAAAAAAACTACATAGACCTTTTCCTTAGGGAAATAAGGGTATAAAATGTGATGAAGCTTACTTAAGACTTGCTTACAAAATAATAAAATTAACTCATATTTTTATTGAGTTTCTATCCATTGCCAGGCATTCTGTCAAGAACATTAGTCCTCTTTAAAAAATAAAAGTTTTTCATGAAATAGTGTTATCTTTTTTTTTTTTTTTAAGATTTATTTATTTGAAAGTTACACAGAGAGAGGAGAGGCAGAAAAAGAGGTCTTCCATCTGCTGGTTCACTCCTTAGATGGCCGCAACGGCCGGAGCTGTGCCAATCCGAAGCCAGGAGCCAGGAGCCTCCTCCAGGTCTCCCACGCAGGTGCAGGGGCCCAAGGACCTGAGCCATCCTTCACTGCTATCCCAGGCCATAGCAGACAGCTGGATTGGAAGAAGAGCAGCCGGGACTAGAACCAGTGCCCACATGGGATGATGGCGCTTCAGGCCAGGGCGTTAACCTGCTGCACCACAGCACCAGCCCTGAAATAGTGCATCTTAACATTTAAAATCAAGTACTGTTCCCTGACCCTTACTAAGCAAATTGTTTAAGGGAGAATCTTTTTGGCTAATAAATGTTTTATAAACTTAAGATACATGTAAATATGTAAAACCTGTTACATTATAGCATTTGAAAGTGAAGAAATGGACTTTGACTTAACCAGACTGGAACTGTCTGATACTTTTTTTTTATTACTTATTTGAAAGGCATAGTTACAGGCCGGCGCCGCAGCTCAATAGGCTAATCCTCCGCCTTGCAGCGCCGGCACACCAGGTTCTAGTCCCAGTCGGGGCACCGGATTCTGTCCCAGTTGCCCCTCTTCCAGGCCAGCTCTCTGCTGTGGCCCGGGAGTGCAGTGGAGGATGGCCCAAGTCCTTGGGCCCTGCACCCCATGGGAGACCAGGATAAGTACCTGGCTCCTGCCACCGGATCAGTGCGGTGCGCTGGCCGTGGCGGCCATTGTTATAAGGGGATGTTACATATGCAGGCATTTTAAAAGATTCAGAAATGTATATGTGGTTGCAACCGTAGAGTATCTATAACTATTAAATTATAATTCATCTTTCTAATTATTTTGAGAGGATCAAAGATGTTTGATAAAATATTGCCTGGTTGTCCAGTAGGCATAGGTGTTACAATTTAGTAGTACAATTTACACTCTAAGAAGTCATATCAGAAATCATAAACATTGTACTGTGATAACTCACTGGAGATAACCTGGAAAAATTCTGAACCATTTTAAATTCAAAAATAGCTAAATTGTTTATTTCTTAATTCCTTTCAGATTATGCTGTTGTTGTAATTACTGTCTTTCCTAAAACTTGCATTAGATTCTTATTCAGAACAAGCCATACTTGTACAAGACTGTAACTGGCTATCCAAAAAGCAAGAGTTATATCAATTGAAGTTCTTGAAAAGCTTTTGGGGTTAGTGGATTACTGTGAGGGTTGACTTAAGACAAAATCCTGAGTCCATCTGTACTCTTTTGTGTCCTGTTGACCATTCTGTTTGCTGCATCTAGGAGAGGGATTTTTGTTTGTTTGTTTGTTTTTTGTTTTTTGACAGGCAGAGTGGACAGTGAGAGAGAGAGACAGAGAGAAAGGTCTTCCTTTGCCGTTGGTTCACCCTCCAATGGCCGCCACGGCTGGCGCGCTGCGGCCGGCGCACCGCGCTGATCCGATGGCAGGAGCCAGGAGCCAGGTGCTTTTCCTGGTCTCCCATGGGGTGCAGGGCCCAAGCACCTGGGCCATCCTCCACTGCACTCCCTGGCCACAGCAGAGGGCTGGCCTGGAAGAGGGGCAACCGGGACAGAATCTGGCGCCCCGACCGGGACTAGAACCCGGTGTGCCGGCACCGCTAGGCGGAGGATTAGCCTAGTGAGCCGCGGCACCGGCTAGGAGAGGGATTTGTAACCTGAGATTCATGAACTCCTCAGGCTTTGGGAGCTCCATGAACTCCCTAAAATTGTATACAATTGTATACTTTTCTGAAGAGTAGATACATAGCTTTCCTAAGAATATAATAAGGAGTTGGATCCTAAGTATGAAACACTAGCCTGGGGGCTGGTGCTGTGGCACAGGGAGTTAACACCCTGGCCTGAAGTGCCGGCATCCCATATGGGCACCAGTTCGAGATCCAGCTGCTCCACTTCCAATCCAGCTCTCTGCTATGGCCTGGGAAAGCAGAAGAAGATGGCCCAAGTGGTTGGGCCCCTGCACCCACATGGGAGACCCGGAAGAAGCGCCTGGCTCCTGGCTTAGGATTGGCACAGCTCCAGCTGTTGCGGCCAGTTGGGGAGTGAACCATCGGATGGAAGACCTCTCTCTCTCTCTGCCTCTCCTTCTCTGTGTAACTCTGACTTTCAAATAAATAAATAAATCTTTTAAAAAAAGAAGAAGAAGAAAAAAGGAAAAAGAAACACTAGCCTGCATTCCTGGGATGTGAGAAATGCTAAGGGAGAGGAGAAAGGAATGCCTGTGGAAAGAGATAGTCTACTCCTTGCCCCTTCATCCAGCAGGAATCTGTTCTCTGCAGGGAAAATCCCAGAGGAAATTTGCTATTCTACTCATCCTTTTTTGTTAAGATTTATTTATTTATTCAAAAGGCAAAGCAACAGAGAAAGATCCTTCACTCCCAAATGACAGCAGCAGCCAGTTCTGGGCCAGGCTGAAGAGAAAAACCAAGAACTCCATCCAGGTCTCCCACTTCAGTGGCAGAGGCCCAAGGACTTGGGCCATCTTCCACTGCTTTCCTAGGCACATTGGTAGGAAGCTAGATCAGAAGTGGAGCAACCAAAACTCTGTTATGGGATGCCAGCATTGCAGGCAGTGGCTTAACACACTGCACCATTATGCCAGCCCCTACCCACTCATCTGTTATGTCTTAGGTTGCTTGTAGTCCTTGTGTAGAGAATATTGAATCAGACCCTGTGATCTTTCTTCTGAGCCTTCCTTTCTTTTTTGTATGAGATGGTGGTGATTCTTGGACCAGTTTTTAGTTAACAACTTGAAGCCTATCCTTTTATTCTTTGTTTTGTTCAGTTGTTGTTCTGCCTATGCTGTCAGACCTATTTGCCCTTCCATAGATTGTGGCATCTGAACAGTCAAGTTTCTGAAATTTTGGGTTACTTCTTTTGTAGCCTAAAATCCTCTTTTACCAGAATCAGTCGTCTGTGCTGTCTGCCCCTTCACAGACAGCTCCAACTTCTCCCAAGTTTAGATTAGAATCCTGACCTGTTGTTAAACTCTCTTCATAAGAAGAGAAACTAGTTGTATTATTTCTGCAAGGAAGACAGGGAACCTGGTATATGGAGAGAAGATGTCTGGCAAACGAAGAATTGTATATGAAAAGTAATAGTTATGTGTTGTCTTTATGTGCCCAGTTTCTCTTAAAGTTAAGCTCTTAGCCCAGTCACTGTCTCCTGTGCCTCATTTCCCCTTACCTCCCCCCTTACCTTAAGTAGCCAGGAGCTGAGAAAGCCATGTGTCCAGTAACAACCTTCTCTTCTACTTCTTTCACCTGTAAAAAATGGGAAGGAAGGACCCTGCTCCCGTGGGCGTTAACCAGTGTGGACCTCCATTGTTTTTTTTCTCCTGATAAGGGGAAACATCAAGAGTAGAATTAAGATAAACTTTTTTTTAAAGATTTATTTTATTGGGGCTGGCACTGTGGCATAGCAGGTAAAGCCACCACCTGCAGTGCCGGCATCCCATATGGGCGCCAGTTCAAGTCCCGGCTGCTCCACTTCCTATCCAGCTCTCTGCTCTGGCCTGGGAAAGCAGTAGAGGATGGCCCAAACCCTTGGGCCCCTGCACCCATGTAGGATACCCGGAAGAAGCTCCTGGCTCCTAGCTTTGGATCGGTGCAGCTCTGGCCGTTGCAGCCAGTTGAGGGTGAACCATCGGATGGAAGATCTCTCTCTCTATATCTGCCTCTCCTTCTCTCTCTGTGTAACTCTGACTTTCAAATAAAATAAATCTTTAAAAAATATATATTTATTTATTTGAAAGAGTTACAGAGAGAGGTCTTCCATCTGATGGTTCACTCCCCAGATGGCTGCAACAGCCAGAGGTGTGCTGATCTGAAGCCAGGAACTTCTTCCAGGTCTCCCATGTGGGTGCAGGGGCCCAAGGACCTGGACCATCTTCTGCTGCTTTCCCAGGCCATAGCAGAGAGCTGGATCAGAAGAGGAGCAGCCGGGACTAGAACCGGCACCCATATCGGATGACAGTGTGTCAGGCCAGGGATTTAACCCACTGTGCTACAGCGCCGGCCCTGATGTTTCCTTTTTTTTAAACCTTTTTACCTCAGTTATAGAAGGATGTGGCATAGGGAAAATAAGGTACCCTCCATAGGAACTGAACTCTTCTTTCTGGATCGTTTTGAAAGTTTCTTCATTTAAAATTTGAAAATGATTATTTTTCTTCCATTCCATTTGTTGTATTATTATCTTTTATGACGAAGCGAATCCTAGCTCTTGCTACCTTTCTCAAGTCAAAATTACAGTACTTTCAATACTGTTATTTATTTGGTTTCCCCTCATCCTGTGACAAACTATTGTTTCCATCTTTGAAGAAACATTTTTTTCTGGAGACTGGCTTCCATGCACGATGGTTGAACATATTGGAACCCAGCCAAAGAATTTGTAGAACTGGAATTGTTAATCATTCTGGAAAATGAGATTCCTATTTCTTACATTATATCCCACGGTAACCCACCAGGTGAGAGACTTGACTGAAACTTGGTCATATAATGTAACTGAGTTTCTAGTCTTCAAAGATCTTTATAGAAAAACAAGCTGTTATTAATTAGGGAAAATGTCACCTTATGGAAATAGGTTATTTAACCCAATCTTTTAAAATGCAAATGTTTTTAAAAAGTTAAATGTTGCCATTAAGTGGACATATAATGTATCTTTTATATATTATGAACAAAGACTATCGATTTTTTTGAATTTTCTTTTTCTGAAAAAAGACTGAAAGGAAATGAACTAAGTATTAAATGTGGTTATATTTGACTTCTGAGCCGTACCTAATTAATTTTCTGGCTATTCCTCCAAGTTTTAGTTCATGTTGTTTTAAAGTGGTAATAAAATAGAGTCCGGTTTTGTGGCACAGTGTGTTAAGCTGCTGCCTATAACACTGGCATCTCATATGAGCAGCAGCTCAAGTCTCAGATGCTCCAATTCCTAACCAGCTCCCTGCTAATGCACCTGGGAAAGCAGCAGAAGATGATCCAAGTGGTTGGGCCCTGGCTACCCACGTGGGAAACCTGTGTGGCGTTCGAGGCCTCTGGCTTCAGCCTGACCCAGCCCAGCCATTGCAGCCTTGTGGGGAGTAGACCAACAGATAAAAGATTTATTGCTATATATATAAAACCTGCCTTTTCAAATAAATAAATAAATTTTTAGAAAGTCAAAGAATATTTTTTAAACTATTTCCCCAAAATTTCTCTGCTTAGCACTTGACTTGCAAAAATCAAAGCCAGGGCCAGCGCTGTGGTGCAGTGGGTTAACACCCTGGCCTGAAGCGCCAGCATCCCATATGGGCACTGGTTCTAGTTCCAGCTGCTCCTCTTACAATCCAGCTCTCTGCTATGGCCTGGGAAAGCAGTAGAGGATGGCCCAAGTCCTTGGGCCCCTGCACCCGTGTGGGAGACCCGGAAGAAGCTCCTGGCTCTTGGCTTCAGACTGGCTCAGCTCCGGCCGTTGTGGCCATCTGGGGAGTAAACTATCGGATGGAAGACCTCTCTCTCTCTCTCTCTCTCTCTGCCTCTCCTCTCTGTAACTCTGACTTTCAAATAAATAAATAAATCTTTAAAAAAAATCAAAGCCAGATATCTAAAATATGGAGTGGTGCTGATTTTGGTAAATAAACTTGTACTGGCACATAGCCACATTAGTTTGTTTACACCTTGCCTGTGGTTCTTTGCAGCTCCAAGCAGAACTGAGCAGTTGCAACAGTTCTTATGTCTCTCAAGCTAACAGTTCTTATCTGATCTTTGAAGGAAGTTGGCTGACTTCCTGCTCCATAGTGTAGTGAGTGTAGGAAGTGATTGGCAAGAAGGTTTTTGAAGTTAGCAAATGTTTTTTAAAATTTACTAGTAACATCACATCTTCCTACCTTTTCTCATTGCAGCCTAAATTAACAATGGCAAAATGCAGGCGAAATGTGGAAAATTTCCTGGAAGCTTGCAGAAAAATTGGTGTGCCTCAGGTAATAAGTTTATCAGTTTTTAAGTTTCCTAAATAGACTTGGGTATCATTGTCCTAAAGATACATCAGAAATGCAAGTCTCTAAAATCTGAAAGCACTAGCACTGAACTAAGGAGATCCTTACTAACATGATTACAAGAGTCAGTATACTTCTGATCAACTCTTTATTTCCAAGGACCATTCAAATTAAAAATATATAAATTTAAAGTTATATGTAATAAGTAATCAAATATTATTGTTTCCTTAACATCCCCACTGGTTTGCTTGATTTTTATGTAACTGCATATGTAGCACAATGTATCCTTCAAAATAAGTACATCTTATATTAAGAATGTTGCTGTTGCTTTCAGTTTCTTAATATTTGCTTTAATATTTCTAAAAAAAAGTATACTTTGAAAGTATACTCCAGAAATGCTGCAAAAATAGAGTTCCTGTGCATTGTTCACCTCAGCTTACGCTAATGTTGACATCTAGTATAACCATGGTTCAGTGGAGCAAAATAAATTAACACCAAAACAGTACTGTTAACCACAGACTTCATCACATTTCACCAGTTGTTCAGTTGAGATCTAAACTTTGGAGTTTAGCATACAAGAGGCCATTTCTAAGTACTGTCCTGCAATGGCAATCTGTTGCCTCTGAATAGTACAAACAGTTAATCTATAGGTACAATTAATGGAAGTGAACTTGATATACTTCTTATTCAAATATCCATTTGAAAAACAATTATTAAATTGATACTCTTAAGGAATATTATATTTAATAATGTGCTATAAAGACCAATTTAAACAAATAAACTTGGTGCTACGTAATTATTTTTCCATTAACCACAATCATTACAATTCATATTAATATGTTTTATTTTGTCCATCTTGCAAGGAGAAAGACATGACTGTCTTCTGTCATCTTGGTTAGTTGTCAAAAATTCAGGATGGACTTCTGGGCTTACCAGCAATTCCACGATTTCAAAGTCCAGCCTTCATTAATGTATCGCAAAAGCTACGTGACTCTCTTTACTCAGCTCACCATACCTCTCTGAGCAGGAGCTGAGAAGGCCACAGCGGCTCTTTGAGTTCTTTCACGTGAGAGCCCAGCTCTATAGAGCATCCGCATTAACCAGCTGGGGTTCCCTTGAGTGTTTGATCTTCTTGTCTAACTAGATTGTCATTCTTAGTTCTCATTTTTTTCTTTGTTGTTTTTTCTTGTTTTAACCTGAGTTATAAAATAACTGAAATGTACATAAAGTAGTGGTTAGCAAAGAGCTTTTTTATTGCTGTGGACAAATTCAAAGCGAATTGTTCTTTTTTCTTTCATAGTTTTATTAGGGTTCATCTCTTTTATAACAAACCATTTTAAACATACTAAGAGGAAATTTAATATGATTTCTAAAGAAACGGCATGCAGATTGTGCATTACTAACAAGTGGTTCTAATATCTGCATGTGCACATTACTGCGTCCTGAGGATGTTGCCACTTACACAGACATCCCAGTCTCTGCTCGAGCTCTCCACCACAACGTCTTGAACAAAAGAATGGGGCATGGATTGGTACAGAGAATGGGAGCCAGAGAAAAGATGAGAGTGATCAAACAGAGGCACTGCCCATGTAGAGAGCAGAGTTCTGAAAAGGGCTCCACAAGCAGGACATGCTGACTTAGCCTACACCAAAACCTTCCCGGAGTACTGCTGACAGCTTTTACAGCCGTTACATCTGCCCCCTGGGCTTTCCAGAATCATCCGGTCTTAGATCTAAAGCCACTAGAATTCTTTCAGAATAGTCCTGCCATCAACGGCAAAATACAAGAAGAGTGTGCCTGAAAACATGCATTTAAATTTAAGTCAGCCTTTGCCAAGTGGCCGCTGTTAGTATTACACACTGGCCTTTCCTGTCCTACCAGAGCTATGTTATCAAAGGCAGGTACAGAGATAGAAAAAAACCAAAATCTTAAAAGACTAGGTCTTTTTCCAAAGTGGTTACACATATTTCCTTCCTCTCCCCCTCCTGTACCAAAAAGAGGAAATAGGCATTCTACATAGGCCACCTCGCCTGCCTTCTACACAAGTCCCTGCCACCACCACCACCACCATTCCAAGGGTTCCTATCATGTGCCTACTTCTGCTGAAAAATTAGTCACTTTTCTAGACAAAGGGAAGGAAAATGAATAAATTTACCCACTCGGGCTCAAGCTGGCATTCCTGAGTCTGTGTGCCCAGGAGGAAAGAAGTGCTTCCTTCTCCTCTTCTGTTCCCCCTCCCTCCGGGCACTCCGCCCTCGACCTGAACATTCCCACTTGCTCTGTTTGCCATGAAAATAAACCCAGGGGTATAATAATGATCTCTTTTGAAAATGTAAAACAGAAAAATTAATAACAGCCAGATTCTGTGTGCAGATAACATGTACAAAAGCAGATAATTTCCTTTTTTATAACTTTTAAATCATTAAGCAAGTTAAATTATGTGTGAAACACTAAAGAATAAGGTGACTTTAAAAGCTCTGAAGAGGTTGGGCATATAGATCATCACTTTTATTATTATGCCTTTATTAAACATGGTATATCCAAAACAGCTGTAATAGGTTACAAAAAATGTGTATCTGAATCCATACTATACCCTAGAGTTCTTATGTATCATATGTTAAAGAATATTTTCTTGTCATCAAGCCCAATAATTTTTTTCTTTATTTGCTTAATCCAGTAATATATTTATTAATTTATGTAATTCCTTAAACTGCAAAATGGAAGGTTGGGATGACCACTAGGAGGTGACCTGATCATTCAGCATATTTGGCTTCTGGGTAGTAAATTTCCCTATTATTATTTCCTCATTCTGTTAGCTTTCTTGATTTCTCTGATTTTCTCAGAAAACTTGCCTCTCCTCAGCATACCCCATTTTTGTCCTTGCTTTCTGATCCATTCTTTTTTCACTACTAAGGAAGAATGAATGGAGAAAGAAGTTGCCTCGGAGACCTCAACACTCTCAGGCCTCAGTCAACCCTAAGCCAAAATCCCATCATGTTAGCTCTGTCCTAAAAGTTCGTACTGCTCACTGACGGGCAAGTGTTATTCTGCTATTTAGGAGTAAATCCAACTAAGCAAATAGAAGGTTCTTTGTAATTTTGCTTTTCAGCATTTTATTGTCAGTCATCATAGTAAAAATGTAGTAGGATGTGTATCTGGCTGTGATTGAGATGGTCATATTGAATTCTATACTCAAAGCTGCATTTCTGATCCACTGACTTTGTTTTTCTGTTTTCCTTTCCTGCTCACACTTTGGACAGGACAATCTTTGTTCCCCTTCCGACATCCTTCAGCTAAACCTCCGCGTTAAAAGAACTGTTGAAACACTACTTTCTCTTGGGGCACATTCAGAAGAATCCAGTTTTGTCTGTCTGTCTATCCAACTTCTGGGTTTTGTGGCGTTTTATTGTACTTTAATGCTAACTCTCTGTATGCTTTATTACTGGGTCTTCCCCCGCTAGCTGCAAGATTGCATTCCACTGATTTTCCACCTCTTTCCTGTGCTTGAGAAGGAGGGTTGTTTTTCACTCAGAATCATTTACAAATGTGTCGACTTCTTTATTTCCTAACCCATCAAAGGGCTAACAAGTGAAGTAGATAAATCCTCTCCTCGTATGTCCACATGAGCAGCCCATCGCAGCAGTAAGCAATTATGATGGCTAACAAAGAACAGACCAGCATTTTTTCTCCTGGTCATTTGTCCATTCCCCTGGCCTACTAATCTGATGGTGAGTCATTTCTTGAAATATGACATGTAAAACTTGATTTCCAGATGACACAGTAAAATGCCCATCTGACCATTTTTCCTTGCCTTAACACAACTTAGGTGTTGAAATTGTGAGAGGCTGCACTTTTTGAACAGTTGCTCATAAGGAAAACAGTTTTGCATTTCCTGGTTTTGGGGGTAAGGAGGGTCCCCTGACCACTTAGATCTTTACATTGAGCTGTGCCCTTGCCCTGAAATCCTGAACCTCTCCTTTCATTGGTAGGCACAGATCCATGTAAGCATTTGTTCTGTGGACATTGGGAAGGCATCGGCCACTTAATCTTACTAATGTTAATTTGGTCAGAATGTTCATTGTCAAGATCATAGGTTCCCTTGGTTGCTATTCCGAGCCCAGTATGTACATTTAAAATAGTACACACCAAGCATGTGATCTGGAGCTGACCTGTCACGGGTAGGTACCTGTCCAGATTCACTCTTTGTTATCCTTAACTTAGATTCGCATCCAGAATCCTATTTAGAATTTAAAATTTGAACTTACTGTAATTATTAATGTATTTGAACCATCTTAATAGGTGAACTTGTATTTTGTAGGCTGTTGAGATTATAGCTCAACAGTAACAGGTAAAGTACTGGGCCGATCTCTGAAGCATACCGAAGCCAATGAATACTGTGTCTTTTTCAGAATGCTCAGGATATTAGTTGCTGGACCTTAAGTGCTTGAAACTACTTTATCATTGCATTCACATTCTAGTTTTCACAAATAGTGTTTCTGAACATTTTGGATAACTGAACGCAGGCGTGAAGGGAGACTGCAGAGAACATAACATGTGGTTGTAAATTCAGCCTGAGTCTGATTGATTCAACACTGTGATGAAAACTAGTTTTGTTCAGTAGTAGTGCCTTCCAGACTCTGGGGGTTTTCATCTATTTCATTTCTAAGGTGTCTCTGAGGCAGTGATCATTCTCAGAGTTTTGTTCCTTAAAAACCAAAACAGAACACCTGTTTAAAACGCAGGCCCCGGTGTGAGTTAGATGGGGACTAACTGCATTCTCTTGCAAACACATTGCGTTCCCTCTAAGCCACAGCTTTACATCTAGAAAGCATACACCCGTAACGAATGTGGAACCCACTGGGCCATGGGCGTTGTTGAGAAGAGATCAGGGAGCTGGCCTTGGAGAAAACAGATCTCTTCCAAGAACAAAACACCATGCAGAATCACTTGAAGTATATAGCTGACCTACACTTGGCAGTTGTACTCAAAGTGCAGGTAAAAAGACTGCAATTACCTTGTTATATCAAATGAAGTATTAAGTAGAAAGTAATGAAGAAGCACAAGTACCAATTGCTGCCTCAAAAATAAGTACTTGTTAAATTTTTTATTGCAACTGGTTTTATAAAACTTTCTAGTAACACAGTGTGTGCCAGTGAAAAGCAGGGGAAAATGCAGATATATTCTTTAATAAATCAGTATCATCTCGTTTTTTAATGAAGCCAGAATTCCACTCTCTGTTCTTTGTGGCAACAATCTGTTTTTAAATATGTAGTCTTAACAGAAAGGCCAATGGTAAGTGTGACTCTTCAGATATTCCTTTTTCTTTTACAAGAAGGAGTTCAAACATACTACTGAGGCAAACAAAATAAATGTATTTAACTTCCTTAAGCAAACATGTAAACATTTTTCACATGTTGCTAAGATATCTCTGACTAAGCTCACAAAATGTCCTCCAGCATGGTTGAGTCCATTAAATACCAGGATATGAAATAATGTACTCTGCCAGATTCAGTTTAATTTTATAATTCAAATTTTTAACTAATTTAGAATATTCCTTCCATGAGTTCTCCAAATAAAGAGAAAGTCTGTCAAGTAGAGCTAAGCCTGGGAGCCACTCAGCTTCCTCTGGGATCCCGCCTGGTCTGAGCGGCCTGGCTCTCTGAAGCAGGATGAGAACACAGGTAGCTGACACCCCTTCCACGCAGTCTAAGCGCTGGCGCCAAAGCAGCTTGCTGTCCTGTGGCGTGTCTTCCAAAGTGCTGTGCTTGAAATGTCCTCTCTCTCAGACTTGAGCCATCTGGGAACTGGGGACCGGTTTTCTGTTTCACCTGCTTATTTTCAATCTGCACTGGTCTTAAATCATTTATCAGAGATAAAGGATGTTGCTTTTACTCCACAGTATGGCGTGTAAGTGTATGTGTGGTACTTGTCAGTTTTCACAGCCATCTGTATGCACTTTCGGTTGTATTAATAAAGTGACAGTTGAGTGTCAGACATGGTTTTTGTCTAACTCCTACCAATAGGGGTCGGGTCCACCTCCAGGTACTGGCTGGTCATCGTTCAGTCAATGATTATGAAGGGGAGAAGCAGCGTTTATTTTTTCCTTTCAGTTCTGTGTTGTTCATTTTATTTTCTCTTTTGTTTGTTTTTATGTTATGTTGTCCCATTCCAGGAGCAATTATGTTTGCCTCTCCACATTTTAGAAGAGAAAGGTCTGAGCCAGGTTGCCGTGACGGTCCAGGCTCTCCTGGAACTTGCCCCCCCCAAGCAACAGCAGCCCCAGTTGTCTGCTGTCTAAGGATACCAGGACCCTGGGCATTGGAACAGGACTGCGGTCGCTGCTGCCAGCCGTCTGCTTAAGCAAAGCTATCATGTGTTCTTAGGAGGGACTGTCTCCGTGATTCCTAACAGGAATATTTTACTTCATTTCTCCATTTTAGGGGAGGTTATATCCATTTCCATTGAATATTTTTAGGAAGAACATTTGGTTTTCTCCAGTGAAACTTCGCTCATTACTGAGAACCGGGCCCAGAAACCTAGCGTGGCCGTGCTTTCCCAAGGAGCAGGCAGAGTCTGCTCAGAGGGTGTCTGCCTCTGCCGAGAGCACAGACATTGTACTGTCTCTCCATGGGCCCAGGACACCTGGAGTCTACTGGTGTGTAAATGTGGTTGTTCATTAGGTTCTCCTGGAGTGCAAATACAGACTCTCAGTAAGCCTGGGTGGGACCTGGGACTCTGCATTCTCAGCAAACATTCTAACTGGTTTTCCTGCAGCGGAGACCACTATTCCAAGTCAGGTGGTTTGATGGAGGTGTGGGGGATAATCTCTTCATTGTAGTTTTCAGCGACATTTAAAATCAATAATGACAACTTGGACCATTCTGTCAAAGGCAAAACAAAAATAACATAGAAGCCCTGTATTTTGCGTAGCAAAAGCAGTGAAAGCGAGACAGTTGTATTTAAGGCCACTGTTCTAGACCTCCTGTCCATTCCAGTCCACCACCATGTCCTCCTTTCTGTAGAGGATAGGATTCAGTGTATCCGCCTGCTATTCTCAAAACACGAACAAGCACGCTGCACCCGGAATCCAGATCCTTCACAGGAACATGCGCTGTGCTGCCTCATTTGAGCCCCCTCACTCCCGGCCCCGCCTTGCTGCTCCCAGGACGCCTGCACCTGCAGACGCATTCCTGGTGCTGCAGTACACTGCTAGTTCCAGTGCACACGCTCATGGAAGACCATGAAAACAGCAAAAAGGAATAAAAGAAAAGTCAGTTTTCTTACCTTTCTTTCCAGTAACTGAGAGCACTTAATGGCATCTTAGAAAACCCCTTCCTTCTTTCTGTCTAGCTCCACCACTCCTGCCTTCCGCACTCAATTGTGGGTGGAGGAGAAGGACCCACGGGCTCACAGAACAAACCAGGAGCTTTTGTTCAAGTTGAAACCACCGGGGATAATCTTCCCCTGTATTTTAAACCTCTTCAGTTGTCAAGATCCTAGTTATCTAGGTCTTTTCTGTGGTTGTTAACTTTTGGATTTTATCAATGCATGCATTTGATCGTAATGTTATCCATCTTTTTAAAATGTAAGTGCAGCACCTAAAAGTAGCTTTAGATAATAACATTTTCTCCTTGTTCCTGCAGAGAAATATGTTCATTAGCACATCACCACTTTTCTCAGTCTTGAAATTAAACATAAAATATCTAAGCGCAAAGCCCAGTCCCACAGGTCCTCACAGAACAAAAGCAATATATCTTATGAGTGCTGAGAGCCAGACCCATTATATTTTAAATGGCAGAAAGACCCACCAGCCTTGGAACTTGCTTAGAATTTAAGCCTTAGTAGTTTTAAACTGTAGGTGTTTTTCCTTCTAGTCAACATTAAACCTCAGTACAATCTCCAAATTACAGAGCACCACCAGAAATGAAAGTCTACAAAGGACTGGCCTGTTTTTAACATTATGCAAGGAATAATTCCAGAAGACATTACATAATGCAACATTGGCAACAAATGTTTCCATTGGAATAAGTGGAAATTTAAGTTGATTTCAAATTTTGCACATAACATGAAACCTTAATATTATTTTTATTGAACTAATTCACATTTGCATTTGAACTGTTGGAAACATTTGTGTAGAGTTTTGGTAATGAAAAGTAGCAAATATATTGAGTTTGTTTCAGGAAACAAAAATCATTTTTGTTTTTTTTTTTAAGACATTTTGTATTCAGTGTTTTGTGTGTAGTTTTTTTTTTTTTTTTTTTTTTTTTTTTTTTTTTTAACTGGAAAGAACAACTCAGTTTAACATTTAGTCTTGCTGGGCTCCAATGAAAGATGAAGATGTCCTTGTCACAGTGCCCCTGACCTGCAGCAGTGACCTTGACCTTGCCAGCCCTGACCCCGAAAAGGCTGAGTGCCCACCCAGAGGGGCCTGCCACCTACAGAGATGCTGGCAGCAGTTCCCCAGCTTCCTGGCGCATCTCTGAGAACCCTGCACACCAACCCTCTCTCCCAATGCCCACGTCTGGAAACAGCTCCTGGGAAGAGGGGCCTTTGTGCTTGGCTGGAACAGAGCAGAGAGGCCAAGCAGCTGTCATGCTCCCTGTCAGCTTCTGAAACCTAACCCAGGAGTCTGACCGCTCCTACTTTCCACAGCTCAGCGGTGACTAACGATGTGTGACTGTGCTGACACGGCTGAATTCATATAAACTAAGCTCTTAAATGGTTATAGAAGTGAAGGAACCCATGGATATTCAGAAGTCTTTTTATGTACACATTACAGTGAGATGGTTTACAGCAGGATTTCATCTTATGTCTGGATATGTTAAAAACGTGTAATTAGCAAGTTTTGTAAAACTGTCCTATATTTGTATGTCTGTAAATACATTGCATAATATGTTCTAAGTATAAATATGTCAGTATCATATATGTTATTTTAAATTGACTGTATGCTGCCTTACACATTGACATTAAAATAAAAGCCAACACTTAAGTAGCATGTAAATAAATGTTTGAACGTATTCATACATCAAGTATGGTTACTGCAGCTAAGATGAATTCTGGAGGGGTAGTGAATTCCCTGAAGGAACTGGTCTGTGAAACAGGCCTTTGAAATCAAAATGTACTTTATTAAGGGAGCAGATATCCAGACTACTCCGCATTTGGAGTTCATGAAACACAGATGACACATTAAGGGTAACTTTTCTCCCAGAAATACCCAGTTATGCCACCAGGACAGCTTTAGCATCCCAAGACATTCCATTTGGATTCATGAGAGCAAGAATGGCCTTATGGGCTGGAACAGTCAGCCAGGCACAGGTGCTTCTTTTCACATACCTTAATTATTAGCCTTCATGCCCCTTAGGTGGGAATTGTTGAGTAAGCGGAGCAGAGAGAGACCCTAACGTCTCACTTGTGCAAACTATCTCCAAACTAGCCTTCAAGAGAAGTGTTGCCATCTTTACTATTTGTAGGCCATATTTATGTCCTAACATCTCATTTCTATCTTGAATTCCTAATTTTTATCCTCACCTATTTCCCAGGAAATTCACATAAGCAGCCTATAATAGGATATGTATTCTATGCCACCTGCCCCCCAGTAAAAACACTAAAATGGTAATAAATCTAAGGCAAGCAAAAACCAATGTTTACTACTACTTTACTATGTGTATACTTTGTGAGACACTTTAAAAACGTTATCTTGTAATTCCTACTGAACACCTCAGTTTTGTTCATAAGAGTTGTTTCCCTGTATACACTTTGGATAAAGTCAGAATGAGACATTGTAGGAATTACCCAAGTGTGTGTTAGTGTATCACTATGACAAAGCCTATGAACTGTTTTTGGTGGTTTTTTTGTTTGTTTGTTTTTGTTTTTTTTTTTTTTTTTTTTTGTGAAAAGGCAGGAAGAACCTTCATAAGGCTACTGGATATACTTGCCGGCAGCATTCAGAATATAAGGACACCTGAAGTCAACAGTACACTCCTGATTCAGGGTTTGAAAACTAATGCAACAGGCAAAAAGAAACCACCAGCCTTCCCTTGCCGAGTCCAAGTTAACCTTGGATTAGTTACCTGTGGTGCAAAGAGATCATTCTCCCTCCAAGCACCCCTTCCCATCTCTGGAACACCAGGAGAAAGGACAGAAATGGCTCAGTCACTTCTTGCCTCTCCTCTTGTCCTTGTCTTTGCCTTTGCCTTTTGATTCTTTGCTATCATCTTTCTCCTTTTTGGGCAGTTTGAAGCCACCAATTTCCTTCCGTATCACAGTGCCGCGCCACCAGGCCTGAAGCTGAAAGACAGGACGTGTGAGTACCACCTCTGGTGGGCCTTCCACCTAAGGGGGTTTTTGAACCAGGTAACCTGTGTCAGAGAATGGTCTCTGCCTAGGACATGGAAGTGGCTAGGTACCCAGTCACCATGGCAATGCTTCCCTGCTGCACAGGACCCAGAGCTAAAGCCATGGACTTGAGTTAAGTTCTTGAGGACTAAGGATACAGGAAGGAATCTGTTTTGCCAAATAGTCCTTCCCACTTAGATACCTGACTTCCTTGTACGGCTGCTTCCTTTAATGGACACCCAGGTGCCCCATAACCAACAGTGTTTGGTGCTTGGGCAGGGGGAAAAGCAAGCACTCAATCAAAAATGTGCAGATGAGCCCAGATGACCTTGGGCTTCCTGGTACATCTCCTATCTGTAGTAACTGAGTAAAGGACCCATTTGCCTCTTACTCTCAAAAAGGATCTAGGGAGGCCGGTGCTGTGGCTCAACAGGCTAATCCTCCACCTGCAGCGCCAGCACACCAGGTTCTAGTCCCAGTCGAGGCGCCGGATTCTGTCCCGGTTGCCCCTGTTCCAGGCCAGCTCTCTGCTGTGGCCTGGGAGTGCAGTGGAGGATGGCCCAAGTGCTTGGGCTCTGCACCCGCATGGGAGACTAGGAGAAGCACCTGGCTCCTGGCTTCAATCAGTGCAGTGTGCCGGCTGCAGCGCGCCAGCCCCAGCGGCCATTGGAGGGTGAACCAACGGAAAAGGAAGACCTCTCTCTCACTGTCCACTCTGCCTATCAAAAAAATAAATAAAAAAATAAAAAAAAAAAAGCTCTAGGGAGCTCCCTTGAATACCTCTGTTAGATGTAACTGTTCTGAATACACTGTAGTCCACTTTAAAATCAAATTAAGTGGGGCCAGCGCTGTGGCACAGAGGTTTAACATCCTGGCCTGAAGTGCCGGCATCCCATATTGGTGCTGGTTCAGGACCCGGCTGCTCCACTTCCCATCCAGCTCTCTGCTATGGCCTGGGACAGCAGTGGAAGATGGCCGAAGTCCGTGGGCCCCTGGACCCGCGTGGGAGACCCAAAAGAAGCTCCTGGCTCCTGGCTTCGGATCAGCACAGCTCCGGCCATTGCAGCCAATTGGGGAGTGAACCATCAGATGGAAGACCTCTCTCTCTGCCTCTCCTCTCTCTGTGTAACTCTGACTTTCAAATAAATAAATAAATCTTAAAAAAAAAAAAATCAAATTAAGTCCTAGTGACTGGGAAGCAGATCCACCAGTGAAGAGAAATATAAGTGGCCTTCAGCTTCTTTACATTTTTGCTCTAAATAGAAGAATCCTGATGGATGGAAAACTCCATAGAAGCTTGATAAATACGTGCTAACTATATAGACCTGGCTCAAAGAAAGCTCGGGTTGGGTCTGCGTGCCTGGTCCCAGGTGTACTTGAAAGCTGCTTGCCCACCAGGGCTCAGCAGATGGCCCTCCTGCGGGGAGAAGGGCAGTCTGAGGACAGCATGTCAGTCCAGCTCACAGGACTTCTGCATCACCATTTTTGCCTGAAAGTATTTCCCAGGAACTGTGAGCTGCCACAGTTACTAATATACACAAGCTCACACATAACTAACTAGGGTCTTTAATCCCTAACCCGCTTCTATCAGAACCCAGCAGTCTGATTTGCAGACAAGACTTTAGGGAGCAGTACATTCAAAGGAATCATTCTGGCAAGAGCTGGTTTGGTTAGAAATCGCATTCCGGGGCTGGCACTGTGGCGCAGCGGGTTAAAGCCCTGTTCTGAAGCACTGGCATCCATATGGGCTCCGGTTTGAGACCAGCTGCTCCTTTTCTGATCCAGCTCTCTGCTATGGCCTGGGAAAGCAGTAGAAGATGGCCCAAGTCCTTGGGCCCCTGTACCCACACGGGAGACCCAGAAGAAGCTCCTGGCTCCTGGCTTCGGATTGGCGCAGCTCCGGCCATTGCAGCCATCTGGGGAGTAAACCAGCGGATGGAAGACCTCTCTCTCTGTCTACCTCTCTCTGTAACTCTGTCTTTCAAATAAATAAAATAAATCTTAAAAAAAAAAAAAAAGAAAGAAATCATATTCCACCTGTGGACCCGGGTGTTGCTTCTGCTGCTAACCACCTTTTTCTAATCAGTGCTGGAAGACTCCAGCACTAACCAACAGCCACACTTCCTCAGGGCCCTCCCATTCTGCGGTAAGCGGCTGAGAGTTTGGTATGAGAAAAGCTTTGTGTTCCGCACCTGAGGCCATCAGTGGCCCTGAGGGACCCTGAGAGGCCGAGGCTTGTTTCCTACCTTTATGATGCTCCTTAATTCCAGGTCATCCTGTTCTATCTTCTTCCTCGTCTTCTCCTTTTCTATACGATCCTCGATGATGACCTGTTCATACTCCCTTATCTGCAAAAACAGACATTAGTTATGTGTTAAACAATCGCCCAACCAGATCTATACTTTCAATTTAAGATAGGTAACAGAAAATATTTTAAATATAAAGATAAATTAGGGGTGAGTGTTTGCCATAGAAGTCAAAATGCCACTTGGGATACCTGTTTCCTATCCTGGAGTGCCAGGGTTTAGGTCCCAGTTTCCTAGTGCACACCCTGGGAGGCAGCAGGTGGTGGTTCAAGTAACTGGGTCCCTGCCACCCACAGAGACCCAGATTTGAGTTCCCAGCTCCAGGCCTCAGCCTGGCCCATTCCTAACTTGCAGGTATCTGGGTAGTGAACCAGCAGATGGAAGATATCTGTCTCTTTGCTTTTCAAATAAGTTTTTTAAGTATAAAGAAAAAAAAACTTAGTGGATTCCTGAATTGCAAATGTTCACATGATAACTATAGTTGCCCCCCAGATTTTTTCAGCTCAATTAATTCAAACAAGTTGTAAATTTTCATAAAAATGAAAGAATAGGGGTGGCTATCTGGAACAGCGGTGAAGACGCCACTCTGTAGTACATCACATGCTGAACCAGAGTGCCTGCGTTTGAGTCCTGGCTCCACTGCCAGTTTCAGCGTTGCTGGTGGCAGCAAGTGATGGCTCAAGTACTTAGGTCCCTACCACCTACATGGGAGATCTGGATTGAGTTCTAGGCTCCTGGCTTTGGCCTGGCTGTGGAGGGCATTTGGGGAATGATCCAGCAGATGGAAGGTCATGTAACTTTATTTTCCTCTCTCTCCCTCCCCCTTTCAAATAAATAAAATTTTAAGATTTTACTTTAAAATTTTTAAATGATAATGTATATATTAACAACCTCAAAATAATGTGATGTTGGGCCGGCATTGTGCAGCAACAGATTAAGCCTCTGCTTGAGATGCCAGCATCCCATATGGGCACCAGTTAAGTCCCAGTTGCTCAACTTCCTGATCCAGCTCTCTGCTATTGTGCCTAGGAAGGCAGCAGAAGATGGCATAAGTACTTGGTCCCCTGCAACTCACAGGGGAGACCCAGATGGAGTTCCAGGCTCATGGTTTCAACCTGGTCCAGCCGTAGCCATTGCAGCCAATTGATAAGTGAACCAGCAGATGGAAGATCTCTGTCTCTCCCTCTCTCTATCTCTGCCTTTCAAATAAATGCATAATTATAATGTGATTATTTTTTAACAGAATTTTCATATGAGACTACTTCAAAAAGTTTGAGGGAAATGCACATTTATCTTTTTTTTTTTTTAATTATTTGAGAGGTAGACAGAGAAAGAAATCTCTCATTTCACTCTCCAAATGTTTGCAACAGCTGGGGCTGGGCCAGGCTAAAGCCAGAAGCCAGGAACCTGATCTGGATCCTCCATGTGGGTGGCAGGGACTCAACTACTGAAGTCATCACCGCTGCCTCCCAGGGTGCACATTAGCAGGAAGCTGGAGTCAGGGATGGAGCCAGGACTACACCCAGGCACTCTGATATGGGTATCCTGAGCAGCATCAGCTACTATACCAAGTGCCTGCCCCATGTTTATCTTTTAATTGGATTTTTACATAAAACTTTTTGAAGTTAAAGCTTTTAAAGATAAGTATCAGCTGTTTTTATAAAAGATGTGGGAGTCCTACATTTACTCAATGAAGAAACCATTATCAGCAGCTCTTCAGACATCACTTACAAGTTGTCTTCAGAGACCACAAAGTAGGAATAACGACACTAGAGTGTCCATCTCAAGGAGTTGTTAAGGGCTAGATAAGTTATACATGCAAAATAGTGGCAGAGTGCCTGGGACAGAGTAGGTATTACGTAAGGGTTAGCTGCTGCTATTGTCCCTGTTGTTGTCGTCGTCATCATCTAAAGAGAATTCCGCTGGTTTATGGGCACACCTTCACTTTGGACCAAAAACAGCATGACCCAGCTCCTGTAGCTTGGCAGTGGGCACCCTACTGCTTCCTTACCAGCTTTGCAAGGTCTTGTAGGTGTGCTAAGTCGCTGGCCTTCGCAGCCTTGAGAGCATTTAGCTCATTCTGTTTCATCTCTGTGTCCTTATCAAACTTCTCCATCCAGAACTCCAGCTTCTCTTCAAGTTTCTGTTTGAAAAGAACATGAAAACATGGCTTTCAACAGGCATAAAACAGCATGTACTGTATGATCCCACTTATATAAGTTTCAAGAACAAGCAAAATCCCTTATAGTGTAGAAGTCAGACAGTGATTACTGTCTGCAGGGACCCTGGGTTATGGACTGGGAATGGCACGGCGGGGAGGCCTCTGGGACACTGGGAATGATCTCTTTCTCTCTGGGTGGCGATTCCAGGGGTGTATATACACAAATATTCAGTCTATATACAATATCCACTTCCTTGTGCATGGTACCCAATTTAAAAAAAGGGGGAGGAGGCCCTTGCAGGTGTCCGGATAAGGAAAGTTGAGAAAGGTAGGCAGAAAACTGAAAGATAAGGAATGGCATCGAGGTGCCAGCATGGCACAGTGGGTGAAACTACTGCTTGCAGCACTGGCATCCCATACCAGAGCACTGGTTCAAGTCCCAGTCGCTCCACTCACTTCTGATCCAGCTCCCTGCTAATGTGCCTGGAAAGGCAGCCGCTGATGGCCCAAGTGCCTGCGCCCCAGCCTCCCAGGTGGGAGACCTGGGTGGAGTTCCAGGCTCCTGGCCTCAGCCTGGCCCAGCCCCAGCTGTTGCAGCCATTTGGGAAGTGAACCAGCAAATGAGAGATGTCTGTCTATCCCTCTTTCTCTGTAACTCTGCCTTCTCAAATAATAAATACATAAATAAAGGATGGAAGGGAAGTACAAGCAAATGAAAAATCCCAGTGAAAGTAAACTGTTCTAGTCAGTGCAGGCTGCTGTAGGCGAATACCGTAGACTGGTGGCTAATGAGCGACAGAAATGCGTTCTCACAGTTCTGGAGGCAGGAGGGGCTGGATCTGGCGCTGGCAGACTCCACGTCTGATGAGGGCCCGCTTCCTGGGCCGCTGCCTCTGGCAGGATGAGCAGGGGTCTCTCTGGGTTCTCTGACAAGGGTTCTAAACTGAGTCATGCAGGCCTCATGCCTGACTCGTCACGTCTTACACTACCAGTGTAGTAGTTAGGATCCCTCCATGTGGATTTCAGGGAAAAATACTCAATCCACTGCGCCAACTATCAAAAATGCCTCCTTTTTTCTTTTATTTATTTATTTATTTATTTGAAAGGCAGAGTGGACAGTGAGAGAGAGAGACAGAGAGAAAGGTCTTCCTTTGCCATTGGTTCACCCTCCAATGGCCGGCGTGGCCTGTGCGCTGCGGCGGGCGCACCACGCTGATCCGATGGCAGGAGCCAGGTACTTATCCTGGTCTCCCATGGGGTGCAGGATCCAAGCACTTGGGCCATCCTCCACTGCACTCCCTGGCCACAGCAGAGAGCTGGCCTGGAAGAGGGGCAACCGGGACAGAATCCGGCGCCCCGACCGGGACTAGAACCCGGTGTGCCGTCACCACAAGGTGGAGGATTAGCTTAGTGACCCGTGGCGCCGGCCCTTTCTTTTTTTAAAAAATCCCACTATAAACCGTAAAAACTCCAACTAAAACAACCACAGCAAAAGCAGGTTTGGCAATTTAATATCTGACAAAACACTATTTGAATCAAAATAATTAAATGAGACAAAAAGATAATTTATATGGATAAAAGAGATACCTTATTAAGAAGATATTATAGGGGCTGGTGTTTCGGCACAGTGGGCTAAGCCATCACCTGCAACACTGGCACCCCGTGTCAGGGCATGGGTTTGAGCTCTGGCTGCTCCGTTTCTGATCCAGCTCCCTGCTAATGCACCTGAGAAAGCAGCAACAGACGGCCCAAGTGCTTCAGCCCCTGCCACCTTAGTGGGAAACCAGGATGGCGTTCCGGGCTCCTGGCTTCAGACTGACCCACACCTGGCTGTTGCAGCCATTTGGGGAGTGAACCAGCGGATGGAGGATCTGTGTCTCTCCCTCTCTGTCACTCTGCCTTCCCAGGCACATTAGCAAGGAGAAGGATCGGACGCAGCACAGCTGGGACTCTAACTGGTGATCTGGTACAGGATGCCAGCATCACGAGGGTTGACTTACACACTGTGAGATCTCCCTCCCTCCCTCCCCACCCCCTCGCTCCTGCTTTCTCTCCATCTTTCTCTTTCAGTCTGATACTCTGCTTTTCAAATAAATTAAAAAAAATTTTTTTTTTAAAAAGAGAAGCTTCCCATCTAAGCCAAATGATAAAAGCAGAAGACAAATTTTCCCTGTCCTCAAGTTACAGCTACATCATCTATTCAGATGGGTAACTCTGAAAGAAAGCATGGGTCACAGTTCATCCAGTTAGGCTTGTGGAACTATGATCAATTTTCCTTTAAAAACAATTATTTTTGCTCTCCTTGGTATTATGAGTACGATACAAAAGAAAACAGGGGATAAAAAATACAGCATGGGCAACCCACCTGCTGCTCTTTTTTAAGGAACATTTCAATCTCCCTATGAGTGCGGTTCTCTTCTTCCATTTTCATCCGTAGTTTCTGTAAGAACAATAATCCAGTAGCAGTTCTGTGTGGCAGGGCTGGGAACTGGGCATTCTGGGAGTCAGAGGTGCAGCTGGGGTGCAGCACCAGCCCACCTGGGCAGTGGGGATCCTCCCAAGCTACAGTTCGTTCTGTTCAACTCTGCTCATTTGTTCAAGCACTGCCGAGCCATGCGGCTGCCTCTGCACTAAACACGTGCCAGGGCCCCAGACCACAGGCCCATGCACCTGTCACCTGGGAAGAGGTGTCAGTTTAAGGAGAAAAACACAGCTTCAAGTGCACCAGTTTCTTGGCTCAAGAGAAGGATATTCCAGAGGCAGACGTCTGAAACAGCAGCGAAGATGCCACTTGAGACACCTGTGTCTCACGTCCCAGGGCTTGGGTTTGCGTCCTGACCCCACTTCCCATGCTGCCTTGCTGCTGATGTGTACCGGAGGAGGTAGCCATGATGACTCAAGTATGTGGGTCCCTGCCACCCCGATGGGAGACCCAGATGGAGTTCTGGCCTCCTGGCCTCAGCCTGGTCCAGCCCTGGCTGTTGTGGCCATGTGGGGAGTGAACCAGTAGATCACCCTGTCTCTCTGTCTCTAACCCTTTCAAGTAAAATGAAAATTAATTATATTTTTAAAAGAAGAAAAAGGTGAGGTGTGTTTTGTTAAAGATTTATTTATTCACTGGAAAGGCAGAGCAATGGAGGAAGAGACAGAGAACAAGCTGCCATCAGCTGGTCCACTCCCCAATCAGCTGCCAACAGCCTGAGCTGGGCCAGGCCAAAGCCAAGAGCCAGGAACTCTATCCAGGCCTTCCAAGTGGGTAGCAGGGACCCAGGGACTTGAGCCATCTTCCTCTGCCTTCCCAGGTACATTAGCAGGAAGCTGGATTGCAAGTGGAATAGCCAGGACTTGAACTGGCGTTCTGACATGGGGCCGGTGTCGTAAGTAGTAGCTTAAGTCAGTAGGCCACAACACCAGCCCGTGTTAGGGCCTGAGGCCAGCTCTGGGCAGTGAGCTCCCAGGGAAGCAGGGGTTTCAGAGAGGGGAGACTTCCTGGCCACAAAGGATACCCTCTAATGATGCCGGCTCCTTTTCTTACCTGCCTGTCCTGGCAACCATCCGACCTTCCTCCGCAGTGAAGTCTGACCGGCCTTTCTTTCTCCTCACAGCTTTCACTCCCCCTGCCCCCCTTCAGTAGCTGCGGCAGCATCGGGAGCAGCGGTTCAAATGCATCTACCTGGTTCCTTCCAAAAGGCAGGACTCACCTCAATCTCTTCCAGCAAGAGCTCCTCTGCCTTATTACCCTTTTTCTGGGTCTGAGCGATCTGCAGCTCAGTAATTTTTTTCATATAGCAATTCTCTAGGTTGGTTTTGGCTTTCATCTCCTGCAATTGGTCCTTGAGGTGAGCAATATATTCATTCTGATTCTGTAGGGGAAAGATGAGGTTTCTCAATTAAAAATACAGTCTGCCTCTATTCAACGCAGTCAGTGGCTTAAGCTTTGTTCTTCTTTTCTTTTTTTTTTTAATTTTTAATTTATTTATTTGAAGGGTAGAGTTTCAGACATAGAGAGGGAGACAGAAGTCTTCCATTCACTGGTCCACTCCCTAAAATGGCCACAATGGCCGGAGCTCAGCCGATCCAAAGATAGGAGCCAGGAGCTTCTTCCAGGTCTCCTAAATGGGTGCAGGGCCCCAGGACTTGGTCTGTCTTCCACTGCTTTCCCAGGCCATAGCAGAGAGCTGGATCAGAAGAGGAACAGCCGGGACACAAACCAGTGCCCATATGGGATGCCGGCACTGCAGGCAAAGGCCTAGCCTGCTATGCCACAGCTCCAGCCGCATCTTTTTCTTTTTTTTAGTTTTATTTATTTATTTACTTATTTAAAAGGCAGAGTTAGAGAGAGAGAGGGAGAGAGAGACCCTCCATCTGCTGGTTCACTCTCCAGATGACCACAACATCCAGGGCTGGGCAAGGCCAAAGCCAGGAGCCAGAAGCTTCCTCTGGGTCTCCTACATGGCTGCAGAGGTTGAAGTACTTTGACCCTCTTCCACTGCTTTCCCAGGTGCATTAGCAGGAAGCTGGACCAGAAGTGGAGCAGCCAGGACACGAACCGGAGCCCATGTGGGATGCCGACATTGGCATTGCAGGCAGTGGCTTTACCCACTACTCTACAACGCAGGCCCCTATATGCCATTTTTTATGGGGGTCTTGGACTTGAGGATCCAAGGATTCTGGTATCCTTGGAGGTTCTGGATCAGTTCCCCTCAGATACCAAGGGACAACTATAATCACCTCTGAGGTATTCCAGTCAGGGGAGATATTAGTGTTTCTATTTTATAGAAAGTAAAACCTAGAGAGTTCAGCTGACTTACCCAGGTTCACATACCTTGTGGGGCTTGAGTGGGAAAACGGGTCTTTTGACTTATGAAAATGAGCTAGTAATGGGAAATCTATGTTGGAAATACAGACAATCCTAATGGTATGCTTACGAAGGACCCTCTTAGAACTATTTGTTATGTTTCATTTTCATTTATACTATTCATGATTTTTGACTAGCTTTCCCAGACTGTGATAGCAGAAAAATAGATCCCATTCCCTGTTGATTTGTAATGTAAAAGCTAAGCTAAGGACAGATATCCAGCCTCACAGTCCTGGCGCCTGCGTCTGTATCAGATGCCTGCGTCTGTATCAGATGCCTGCGTCTATAATAGAATACCTTGGTTCCAGACCTCGCTCTGGCTCCTGACTCCAGCTCTGATGCAAACTCTGGCAGACAGTGCTGATGGCTCAAGTCATTGGGTTCCTGCTGCTCACATGGGAGACCTGGATTGAGTTCTTTGATCCCGGCTCCAGTCTAACCCAGCCTTGGCTACCTGTTAGGAGCATTTGGGGAATAAACTAAAGATGGGAACTACTTTCTTACTTTCTCTCTTTCTCTCTCTCTGCCTCTCAAATAAATAAATATTCTCTTTTTAAAAGAGCAAAGCTTGGGGCTGCACTGTTATGTAGCAAGTTAAGCTGCCAACACAGCACCAGCATCCCATATGGGCAGTCATTCGAGTCCTGGCTGCTCCACTTCTGATCTTGCTCCCTGCTAATGTAACTGGGAAAGCAACAGAAGATGACCCAAGTACTTAGAACCCTAAACTAATGTGGGGGACTGGGAGTGAACCAGAGGATGGAAGATCTCTCTCTCTCTCTCTAACTCTTTTTTTTTTTTTAAGATTTATTATTTAATTTATTTGAAAGTCAGAGTTACACAGAGAGGAAAGGCAGAGAAAGAGAGAGAGAGTGTGTGGTGGAATGAGAAGGCCATGCCAAGATGGCTGCTGCCAAGTGAATGTCACTCAGGAATGGCTTTGAAACCCACCTGGCAACGGAGCCTGCCTGGAAACAGGCTGTGATTGGATGGCTTTGAAACCCATCTGGCAATGGAGCCTGCCTGGAAACAGGCTATGATTGAGTCCTGGCTGCACTGCTTCCAATCAGCTGCCTGCCGTGCGCCTGGGAGGCAACAGATGATGGCTCAAGAGTTTGATTCCCTACCACGGATGTAGGGAACCTGGGTGGAGTTCTGATCTTCTGGCTTTGGCTTGGCCCAGCCCTGGCTATTGCAGGCATCTGAGGAGTGAACCAGCCAATGGAAGGTCTCTCTCTCTCTGCCTTTCAAGTAGATGAGAGAAAAAAAAAAAAAGTTACACATCCTGCAAGCTCCATGAGGGCAGGGACTGGGGCTGTGTAGATCTCTGCTGTAGTCCATGCCTGGGACTGAAGAAATGTATTATTTATTTATTTAACTGGTAGAGTTATAGACAGTGAGAGAGAGAGTGACAGAGAAAGGTCTTCCTTCCGTTGGTTCACTCCCCAAATGGCCGCTACGGCCGGCACTGTGCTGATCCGAAGCCAGGAGCCAGGTGCTTCTTACTGGTCTCCCATGCAGGTGCAGGGGCCCAAACACTCGGGCCATGCTCCACCGCCCTCCTGGGCCACAGCAGAGAGCTGGACTGGAAGAGGAGCACTGGGACTAGAACCCGGCGCCCACATTGGATGCCGGTACCGCAGGCGAAGGATTAACCAAGTGAGCCATGGCATCCCAGAAATGTCGTTTCTTAATGAATATGGAGACCTGAAAATTGCCAAGCAATGGGCAACCTGCAGAGCTTTCACACGTGTTCACATGAATCCTTATACAGCCAGCCTCCATGTATGGGTTTTACATCTGTGGATTCAACCAACTATGGATGAAAAATATTGGGAAAAAAATCCCATCTGTGCTGAATGCAATTTTTAAAAGTTTTTTTTTTTTTATTTGAAAGAGTTATAGAGAGGGGCCGGCGCTGTGGTACAGTGGGTTAAAGCCCTGGCCTGAAGCGCTGGCATCCTATATGGGCACTGGTTCGAGTCCCGGCTGCTCCTTTTCTGATCCAGCTCTCTGCTATCACCTGGGAAAGCAGAAGATGGCCCAAGTCCTTGGGCCCCTGCACGCACGTGGGAGACCTGGAGGAAGCTCCTGGCTCCTGACTTCAGATCAGTGCAGCTCCAGCCATTGCAGCCAACTGGGGAGTGAACCATCAGATGGAAGATCTTTCTCTCTCTCTCTTTCTCTCTCTCTCTCTCTCTTGTTGCTGTTGATTTCATTCCTGAGAGAATTCATTCTGAGAGGAGGGGTGTGGTGGAGGCAAGAGGCGCGGAGTCACCACACAGACCCCAGGAGTCTGGTGAAAGCCGGCCAGAGGCGAGCAGCGCAGACTCGTTTATTTCAGTTGGTACAACTGAATCTGGTCAAGGGGTGGTCTATGCCCTAACCAATCACAGCCTGTTTCCAGGCAGACTCCAAAGCCATCCAATCAACAGCAGGTTGAGCTGCCACTTGGGATTCCAACATTCCATATTAGGTCCCAGCTGCTCCACTTCTGATCCAGCTCCCTGCTGATTTGCTTGCAAAAGCAGCAGAAGATGGCTTTGCAAGCCATGGCAGAGATCTATATGGAATTCCTGGCTCCTGACTTTGGCCTGGCCCAGTCCTGGCTATGGCGGGCATTTAAGGAGAAGTGTGCATTCTGGTGTGTTCTCTCTCTCTCTCTCTCTCCCTCCCTCCCTCCCCTTTTTGAATGAATGAATAATTTCTAAAAAAAATTATCAAAATTTGAGTAACTTCAGAGACATGTTCAGAGCTAACAGCACAAGGAAACTTATGAGAGTACTTCAAAAAACTCATAGAAAATGGAATTAAAAGATAAGTTTATTTCAGTGCAAAAAATGGTTGAAGTCCATGCATACAAGTGGTCTACAAAATGTTCAAGGAAGGTATATAGGATGAAGAAACCGTGCATGGATTTCAAAAATTTGAGGGGAAAAATTAGCTTTCAATTCGATTTTCCATTTTTCTGTGAATTTTTAAAAAATAAAAATGTCTTATTCATTTATTTGAGACAGACAGATAAAGCTCCCATCTGCCAGTTCACTCCCCAAATACCCTGTGACCAGGGCTGGGCCAGGCCAAAGCCAGCAACCAGGAACTTATTTTGGCAAGGACCTAACTATTTGAGCCATCACTGGCAGGAAGCTGGAGTAAGGAGCCAGATCCAGGCATCAAACCTGCACTCTGACAGAGAATAAAAGGATTTTTTTTAAGATTTATTTTTTAAAAAGCAGAGTTATATATATATAGAGAGAGAGCTCTTCCATCTGCTGGTTTAGGACAAAGCCTGGAGTTTCTTGGACCTCCTAGAAGAGGCCCAAGCACTTGGGCCATCTTCTGCTGCTTTTCCCAGGCCATTAGCAGGAATGCTGGCTTGGAAGTAGAGCATCCCAATCTTGAACCTGTGCCCATATAGGATGCGGCATCACAGGCAGGGGCTTAACCTGCTGTGCCGAAACACAAACCCCTGGACACAGAATCTTTTCTTTTTTTTTTTAATTTTTTTTAAAATTTTCATGACAGGCAGAGTGGACAGTGAGAGAGAGAGAGAGAAAGGTCTTCCTTTTCCATTGGTTCACCCCTCAATGGCCGCTGCGGCCGGCGCACTGTGCTGATCTGAAGCCAGAAGCCCAGTGCTTCTCCTGGTGTCCCATGCGGGTGCAGGGCCCAAGCACTTGGGCCATCCTCCACTGTACTCCCTGGCCACAGCAGAGAGCTGGACTGGAAGAGGAGCAACCGGGACAGAATCCAGCGCCCCAACCGGGACTAGAACCAGGGGTGTCGGCACCGCAGGCAGAGGATTAACCTAGTGAGCTGCGGCACTGGCCATGGACACAGAATCTTTTTTTTTTTAACTTTTATTTAATGAATATAAATTTCCAAAGTACAGCTTATGGATTACAATGGCTTGACACAGAGTCTTAACCGCTAAGCTAAACACTCACCCCTCCATGAAATTTTTAAAGTATTGCTTTATAACTAATCACAAAAATGCATGGCTCC